ACTTTCATCAATAAATTATTCGAAAATGACTCTTTATCTGAAAGAGACGGAAAAATCATATGTATAACATGGGGGTGAAGTATATTCTATTCTTTATTTTCCTGCACATTTTACGTATTAATTTCTATCAACCTACTTTTCGTCGTAGAAGAAGTTTAATACATAGTGTGATATTAGTAACTCCATAAATTCTTATCTGAAGTGGACTTCTGAAAATATATTTAGCACATATGACATGAGTACAGTAGTCCAGATACCCACATCGAGGTTTCCACCATTTCTCATTCATAAGGCTCAGCTCATTCAGCTCATAGCAGCTTGAAATCAGAATTTATTCAGTCAATTCAGTCGACCCTGGTATACAGTCTAAGAACAGTCTCTTTTGGTGAAATATATTGAGCTTTCAGTACAAATCGCAAAGATTATGCTGGAATAATAAACTCCAAAACTAAGAGGATTGTTCATCTATATCTTGGTATTGTTGAATCAGGAATTCCATATGGAAATTACGTATGATACGCCAGTGACCTCAATATAACATAAAAAACAACGAATGTCAAAAATCTAGTGTTTATCCCCAGAATTGAATAAGGATGGATCATTGATGGAACTATATATAACTGTTTCACAAATAACGCCTATAAATGTGACGTGACAGCAATGTCATGTCAGGAACGCCAATACACAAATGTCACTAGATGATTAAAAGAGAAAGGAGCTATGATCTGTCCGTACCCTGTTAGATGACAAATACATCAGTTTGCATCAAGGGACCCTAGTGTGGACGGACTCGAAATATTAGGCGCTGTTGCAAGATATAATCTGCAATTTTCTTTAAAAAAAAGAACCGTAAGGAACGAATTCAATAGGAAAAAAAAATGACTGACAAGTCATGAATATCATATTGTAATATAACAATAGTGAAAAATTATAGATACTATAGTCCGTTCCAACCAAGAAGACAGCATTAGTTATCATAGGGAAGCGTTGACCTTCCTTTTGATTGGTTAATATCGGAGGCAATTTTACACCTGTCGAATATTTTAGGATTTTTAGGTTATGTTTTTCAGAATATTATGAGTATCGAGTTTATTTTTCAATAATTTCGAAACGAAACAGATTTGAACTAAAACCTTCGCTAATACTGCAATTTTTTGTGATTTTTAATACACTGCCAATACTCGTGATTCTTGTTGTCATGGCCGATCAGAACCTACCACACGAGCTACCACACAAGAATCCCAAGGGGAAACCTGTGAGGAGTGGTCAACGACTTATGGCTTACAATGTTTATTCAGCCAATTCTGCTAATAATATTAGTAAATCGGCAGCTATTCAATTGACTGCAAAGGAAGTGGGCCTTGGTGAAAAGCTTTGCTGGAAAATTGTTCGGGAAATGGAAAGTTCTGGCTCAGTCAGTTCCCCCAGAAAGACAAGGAGATCTAAAAACAAATATGAAAAACTGGAAGAGTTCGAAAAATCAGCAATTCGAAGATATGTTCATTCCTTTTTCTTCAAAAATGAACTTCCAACTTTGGCAAAAGTTTTACAGAAAGTAAATGAAGATGAGTCTCTACCAACAATGAAACGAACAACCTTATGGAGAGTGCTAAGAAAACTAGGATTCAAATATGAAAAACGAACCAGAAAAACAGTTCTAATTGAAAAGCAGGAAATCATTTTATGGAGACGTAGATATTTGACTTCAATGAAAAAATTTAGAGATGATGGACGGAAAATCTATTACACAGATGAGACTTGGGTCAATGCAGGTCATGTTAAAAATAGGGTATGGCAAGATACTACAGTTAAAACTGCAAGGCAAGCCCTCCTAGAAGGTGTTTCAACTGGTATTAAGGATCCATCTGGTAAAGGAAAGAGATTAATAATAACTCACATGGGAAGTGATACTGGTTTTGTTGAGGGTGCATATCTAAGCTTTGAGTCCAAAAAAACAGGTAATTTTTTTCTTATTTCCTGTTTGGATAATTATTTTGATAAAATGAATTTTGCAGGTGATTACCATGAAGAAATGAATGGTACAGTGTACACAGAATGGTTAGAACGTGTACTACCATTACTGGAAGATAATTGTGTCATTGTTATGGATAATGCACCATACCATAGCATGAAAACAGAAAAGGTTCCAAATCAAAGTTGGAAAAAAAATGACATCATTGAGTGGCTCGAAAGCAAACTCATACTGACACATGGTTCATTATTAAAACTAGAATTATTACAATTGGTGAAAGAATATGCCTTGTCTAATCCAACACCTTATGTGATAGATGAAATGGTGCAGAATAGTGGAAGAACAATTTTACGTTTGCCTCCTTATCACTGTAACTTTAATCCAATTGAACTTGTTTGGGCACAAGTCAAGAATTATGTAGCTGCTAATAATAAAACATACAAGATCAGTGATGTTAAAAATCTTCTGGATGAGGGTATTCAGAATGTCACAGGAGAAAAATGGAAGAGCTGTGTGAATCACATAATCGCAGAAGAAAAGAGAATGTGGGATTTAGATGGAATTGCTGAGAATATGATGGAAATTATTATACAACCAGATTTGGATAGCAGTTCTTCTGAAGATTCAAGTGATGAAGAAATGGGCGTAGACAATTTGTAGTCAGTTTTGTGTATCAATGAAAAATACGCAGCACTTTATTATTATCAATATTATGATTAAAACTATGTCTTCCATTAAAAGTTCATTCAATTACCAACCATATTATTTCACAATGTTATGCTTGAGGTATAACACCTGTTTAAGGTGGGTGTGAAAATTGATTAAGTGTATTATTTTTCTACTAAGAATTAATCCAAGTCGAGCTCAACCCATTTATTTTGCCATGATTTTGAATTAGGCGCCATATTTTAATTTTGCCAGTGTAAGCCTTTCTTCAGACGTAGCGCCACCTACTGTCTTCTTATTTGGAACGTAGTATATCGCAAAATATATGTGGAAATAAATGAATATATAACTATATGCATCATATGAATCATATATGTATATAAATCGTAAAATGCGGTAGGTGCAAAGCAAAGGCAAAGTTGGCACTTCTTCAATTGGATATAAAATAACCAATTTCAGAAGCCGCGCTCTTCCACTTAACCTCTTTATTAGTAATCAACTTTATTTAGCCAATGAGAGATTTATGGTAATTATTCATAATACTTGACAAAGTAGGATTGAAGAACCTATTATATCCTATTGCTGTTATGATATAGTTATTATGCATTCAAAGAACAATTTCCGGAAATCTAGACATATTGATGATGTCGGCAACGTCGTACTGGCACAGGGAATCGTATTTCAAGTCTGTTTGACTGTGGATTTTCAGAAAGTACGGAGGAGCCAAGTTCCTCGTCTAGTGCCCAGACTGAGCAACTTTGGACTGATGTCAGTTTGCTTGTATCTATTTTTTGTCGTATAAATCTTCGTATATGTGGAAATTATGTTGAAAAATTTGTATGAAATATCGGTTAATCGTTTCGGTGTTGACTGATGCTTTGAATTACAAAATTCAAATTTTGTTGAAATCATGAGAGGAATTGAATTCAAACAATAGTAACTTCAAAAATCAGGTTCAACGCCCATGGAATGATATTCATCATGATCATGATATGGGTTTCATTGCCCAATGAAGTAATGCCTGCATACCAAGTTTGTGTAAAATCTCATGACCGTTTCAAAGCCGTCTAGCGTCCAAACTGAACAACTTTCCACTGAGGTAAGTTTGTTTGTATCAAATTGTTTTGGTCTGAGAAATATTTGGTAGGTTTTGTTAATACCTTTTAAGGTTTCACTTTCTAGAAACCTTTGACTGTCACTTGCATGATGCTTATTTTGACGTTTCACAACATGAATTTTCATTAAACGTCAGTGTAAATCAATGTTTGGAATCAAGAGAGTGATTATGAAATTGAAGAGTTTTATTGAATTCTCCTTTTTTCGTGTTTTTGATAGGCGAAAAATAGTTGTGTGTCTCACATGCAGAAAACGCTTTATCAGCCCTTAGCTATCAGCAACCCTCACTTCATCATTATATTATAAAAGTTGAATGAGAGCCGCTTTTCAGCAATGTGCTTAGAACTCTCGAACAGCACTTGGGCGCAATGATCCAACACGAATGATTTTCATAAGCACCTTTGCAAGCTACCATTGAGGAACCTCACAGTCACAAACCATATATTTTGAACTTTAACTGTCAGATCGTGGTTTGCGCCGTTCCGGATTTGGTGCATGACGCCCTTGCAAAAATTTTCGTAGAGGGAATCAATCCACGTACAGTTCAGGTGCATAAAGCACGAAAGTCCTAGAGCTGATCAGGTGCGCAAAGGTACAGTCCCGTGCTACCCGATTAAGTTGCTGGAAAGCGTCTAAGATGTTTTATCCGAAAAATCCTCTTGAATCATCGAATTGGCAGCGGTTCCACAGAGGTCCTTAGTTATGTTTTTTTCCGCAGAGGAAATAAGGAAAATAATTCACTTTTTTCAATTAGTTACGCTGAGGTCAAGGCAGGCGGCCTTCCACAGTCACTCAAATACACCAGGCAGTTGATGCCATAGACAAACCAAAAATTGCTGTAGACGCTGACGAGTGAACAGTATGGGCACCTCCCTATGACCGTGGGCAGGTTGCGACGGGCAGCCTCCCACAGTCACTCCAAATACACCAGGCAGTTGGTGCTGTAGACGCTGCCGAGAGTGAACAGCATGGGCACTTCCACTATGACCGTGGGCAGGTTGCGACGGGCAGCCTCCCACAGTCACTCCAAATATACCAGGCAGTTGGTGCTGTAGACGCTGCCGAGAGTGAACAGCATGGGCACTTCCACTATGACAGTGGGCGCGTTGCGGCGGGCGGCCTCGGCGTTCGAGAGCCCGCCCACGCCCGTCTTGCGCGCCTTTCTCGCGCGCGGGCCCTGTCCGGGCGGCAGGAACTGCGGCTTGCGCGAATAGTGCAGGTCAAAGGCGTGGAGCAGCTCAGGGCGTCATAAGTCTGGGAATCTGGAACATGCAAACTCTCAATTTATTTCTTTAAGATAATATAATAATAATAATAATAAAATGCCTTTATTTTAATAATCCTCGGCGAAGTCCAGTTGAAAACTGCTTCACTTAACCGAGTACCAGTTACACATAAAAGATTAACAAATAAAAATGAAAATGGTTACCTATATACCTATATAATACAATCTTATCAGACTATAGTATGAAATATGCATGGTGTTTATAGGATAATACACATAATATAATCATTGATTTGATAACGATTACAAAAGTGCACAAGGGATAAGATTTTAAGACTAAAGACCCAATAGATATTTCCTATAAGATTTTTCAAAAGCATAAATCGATTAATTTTTTATAGTAATTGGAAAAGCGTTGAAAATATTCACTGCATAATGAGAAAATGATCTCCTGAACGCAGTCGTTGAATGCCTGGGTATCACAAGAAGGTGCCTATTTCTGGTTTCCACATCATGAACAGCAGACCGATATGATAACATTTTTCTTATATATGAAGAACTTCCTTTCGCTAAATGATAGACAAAATAAACAACACCGTTTCCTTCAACAGGAGTCGCTCTCCTGAGAAATATCGAGACAGGAACCTTAGTAATAATAGTGGCAATTTTTTCGTTATTAAGATATACATATTGTTCTTGTTCTGTTTCATAAGTTGTAAATAATGGACATATAATAATAATAATAATATAAGTTTATTCAGAAACGTTTACAAAATATACATTGGAATAAACATAAAGGTAATTTGAATAAACTGGGAAAAACCTTACGAAGTTAACCTTGTAGTAAGGATAAAAAATAAATAAATGTACATAGGTCAATAAATATTTAACAATAACAAGTTATCACAATTGAAAATTGTCTCATTGAGAAATGAGACAAGTATTCAATTCCTAATATATAGTGTATGGAGCATTTCATTCAATACGCATAATTATTTATATTCATACATACTTATTCACAATTGTTATTGAAATTTATCTAATGATATTATTAAATGTTAATTAAAGAAATAAAATAATTTTTAGGGGAGTTTAATATCCAGTTTTTTATTTTTATTTTATAGGATTGTAGTGATTTTGTTTTTAGAATATCCTATATTATGAACGTTTCATTCTTGATACAGAATATCTCGTGAACGGACCTGCTATGCTAATATTCATAATATTAAAAAAAAATATGTATCAATCAGATAACATTTTCATTGAACCCCGTAGCGAAGCCTCTCACTGCAATTTGAGCATGGCATTTCAACTGACCCTCGTAAAGACTCGAAACCAGCTGCAGGCGGCCGCCGTTTTTGTGAGCGCAACATGAAAGTTCCGGCTGAATGTGAACCTTCTAGTCTCTGTTTATGTTCGGTGCAGACGTATACAGGCTGACTGACAAAAAACGCCCCAAGCCATAGCGCCGCTATTTATTATTCGATTTTGAAAAACAAAAAAGCAAATGAAATGATATATCAGATTCTACAAGGTGGCACTAACAATTTTTTTTTAAATGTCAACTCTAACGACGCCGATTGTCGATTTTTTTTTTCAAATGTTAACATATTATATTTTTCAATTTTTTTTCTGGTTAGTTTGTCATGATTTATGACTTGATATGAATATTCATTTATCATATTTTCTTCGTGTTTTCCCAGTTGTATGTTTAGCAGAATGGGATCATTCATTCATTGGAAAGATATTATTCTGAATTATTCCTGTCAACCCTGCTTGACAGAATGAAACATTAGTAGTTTGGAAATGGAGACATCTTGTGGATATCATTACCTGGTTGGATCTTCGATGTAATTTTTTGGTACCATGAATAAGTGTTTGGGAATGTCGTCTCTGAACTCAAAATGCTGGAATGTGATTTTTGCTGTCACAGTTGGCAAAATTGGGATTTCCACTTTCACTGGAAAACCACTGGGGAGTTTAAATGTGATGAAATCTCTTAGTTTGGAAAAATGCTTGAAAGGTGCTATCACTTCCAACACATTCAACAGCATCTCAACGGACAGAGGAAACTCGTTGCTCTAAAAAAAAGCAAAGACCTAGAATTAATGTAAGTGTTAAATTATTTCCATACTTTTCCAAACATTCCTGGACTTGTTGAAAATAATTTCAGAATGAGGTAATTTAGTAATGTTGCTCTCGGTTTATCATGAGACTCAAAGTTCCGAAAAATTGTTTTTGAAAGTATAGGTGAAAATATACGGGGTGACCCAAAAATATCTGACAAACTTTCAGGGGTTGTAGAAGCATTGATTTTTGAGATAATTGAAACACGAAAAACAAATATAAGTCAAATATCTTACCATTGCAATAGTAGCTTTGAATGATTTTGATGACTCTTTATATACAAGGTCTCTACCTAACCTAGGATAGTTATTTACATCAGAACTTATGTAGTTGTCCCAGGTGACTTTTTTTTCAGTAGGGGGCACCAAACTATTTCTCCTCAAAGGCTACAAAAACAACAAATGGTTTTCAACAGTTTCCAATACATTTTCACACACTCACAGCTCCATTTTGTCCAAAACTTTGAAAATTACTGCCTTTCGTAAAACTTTCCAGTAATGCTTTATTTTTCTGGAGATCATCTGAAGAAAGGTGTTCTCGTCTTTTCCTACTCTCCAGCATCAAACCATGTACAATGTATAGCTCACTATCATATTGACCTGCAACCAACTCCTAGAAATAATGAGAATCTCTATAATGATAAGTATGAATGCACTAAAACAATAGGTGAATTGTTTTTTCATGAATAATTAAAAATGCAAGAATATTCTATAAGAAAGCTAATCAAAATAATTAGCAAATTAATCTTAGTTTAATTGCAATATCCATCTTGCAATTAGAACATTAGGGAAACTGTTTCAGAAATCATAATTGTGAGATTGTTCTATGAATGAAGTAAATTGCATGATTTATCTTGCAATCAGGGCTTGATTGACAAATCCATCTGCAATAACAGCATAATCAACAAAATAATGTAATAATTATCTCAACAGATGTTTTTGTGTCCTTCCTAGATATCAATATCATAAAGAGAAATGTATAGGGAATAGCTTTTGTTGAGCTCAATATTTGTAATTTCAATTATACTAACAATCAATAATTTATTAATGATCTTAGACCAGTGATACTATCTGATTATAGGTCTGATTATTCCTATTTGAAAATTATATACTTTATATTACTTAACACAATAACTGAATATAAAAAAGACTCTGGAGATACAAGGATTATAAAGATTGGCTATGGATTTCACAATTTCAATACTATCTGGGAAACTAATATTGCAAATTCAAATGAAATCATGAGAAGAATATTGTTTTTCTTCGAATGGTTCCCTCTTAATTTTATCTACTTAAAGAAGAAAGAAAGAATTTCATTCATCTATGAGGACTATACATTACACATATGACAAAGATATAGTACAATGCACCATCCTATCAGACTAGTCAGTTCCCAAAAAACAAAATGGACAAAAAACGGACAATGACATGCTATAGAATAATAATTATATCCAAAAAGAACATTATTATATAGGACAATAATTAATATTAATAGGTACACACAGATTTTTTTAAAATTTGAGGTATTCCTCAACTTATTCTATATGTATAGAGAGGGTATAACAAGGATATTTCTTTGTTTCAAAATATTCATTTTTCATAAACTCCATGGGAGAATAAAGTGAAAGAACTAACACTTTTCAATCAATTCCAATTTGGGTCATTTAATCCGAATCAGCTGTTTGTGTTTATAATTCATATCAGAGTGAATGTTTTCTGAAATGAATAAGATATCCCATTGAAACCTTGATTGGAAGAGTTATGCTGGGACACCCAATATTCCTGATATTTCAAGACTGTGCATTCTAGTACCATAATTATCTTTTCAACTATGAACTTTTATTCATGATCATATAAAATGAAAAAAGTGTACATTATTTTTAAAAATATGTGAATTGGAAATGTGGAACTGAGTTTTAAAATTTGATATGAATGAAGTAAATACTTTTTTATCTTCTCTGAAAATCCACCCACTCTGAGCTCTGGAGAAAGATATGCTTTTAGTTGAAATTTGAGCTGCCAATATATCAGTAGACATCAACAAATCTACTTCATCCTCTATTTCCATTTCATTTTCCTAAAACAGAATCAGTGATAATATTACAAAATAGTAGATGCACAAGGCTAAAATAAAATTACAAATGCTTCAATGCAAATTATTATCCTATGCTGAATAAATGTGAACTTACCTCCTGCCTAACTTTTTGAAAAACTTTAGATATATTATCAAGTACAGTGAGACTTTCATTGGGATTAGCATGACCATTAAATATGAAGGAAATATCTCCTCTCTCCCACCTCATGTCTGAAAAGTCAACAAGTGTAGTGTCTAATCTAATACTGGCTCCACTCTTATAAATTTTACAGATATCTGATGGTAAAATCCTGGATACTAAAGGAACTACAACAAAATAAACAAACATATTGAGCCATGTATGAATATCATAATAACATCTAACTATTTACCCCAAGACTGGAAATCCCATTTTAATTCCATATAAAAGTCACTTATTCTATTTAAAGCCTCAGCTAGATTTGGACGTCTGTCTTCCATTTGGTCACGAGACTGTTGTCTAAATTTTCTCACAAGTGATGAAACTGGAAGGAGGAAGAAGCTATTGGCCAAATCAGCTAGAATGCAGGGATAACTCACTTGTGGGACGATTGCCATAGCTTACTGCTTCAGATAAAACTGTCCATCCAAGACCATTCTTTACTTTCACAGGAGCATCATGTTTCAATAATAGCTGTACACACTCTTTAAAAAAGTAAATATTAGGAAATTGAGTTTATTGTTATAAATGAAAGAGTCACCTTTTCGCCCAAGCATAACAGCCAAGTGTAATGCTGTGTTTCCTGAAAACAAGTCATCTTATTAGATCTGACATTGACTAAACAATTCAAAGTTTCTGAATCAACCATAACCTAATATTTCAGGATGTATGTGAAGATATGCAGCAAATTATAGTAACTCACCATGTTTATCTTTGGTACTAACGTCAATCTTTCTTATTAAACGGGATAAACCCTGTAAATCATTTTCAAATACAGCTTTATGAAGAGGAAAACCTTCACCATCACTGTCATCAGCCATGTTTATCGTTAGCTGTGATGGCTGTGACTTTGCTGTGACATCCCAAGTGACATCCACCCAGGGTTGCCAACAGGTGTACAATGATTTACTCACAAGAAAATGTGGAATAACTCACAATAACTCACAACCATCAAAATATCAACATCAAGGCAGATTTTTCATAAAAGAATGATACAAAATAAAGGAAAATTTGATAACAAACTTATAACATCTGCCTTTTTCTGCCACAAATACTCTCAACAGTCTCAACTGTCAAAAAATAGAACAGGGTTTTGACAGATGACAGTGACAGATCGCCAGCTCCTTGACTCCATGAGCTTGAGACCGAAAATACAAAATAACATTAATAACAATAACCTCTTATAGTAATATAGAAACAAATAACAGGAAAAAAAATAAGTTAATTCATTCAATGTATCTCAAAATAATAACAAAAAAATCATGTTTACTTCCTAAAATCATGGACAAGAACCAAATGATTCCAACATAAAAAAAAACCATTTGATATAAACATTTGAAATTGAATAAAAACTGAGATACACATCTCAATAAAGACAAACTAGGACTACATATACATAATGATATAATTATATATATGAAAAATTAACAGAACAGGTCACATTATTATCACATTGTTCTAATGACTTGAAAATTAATTAAATGCAGAGTGCACAGCACATCAAGCACTGCAGGTATCTCGTATACTGTCTTACTGTCATACGTCATACTAGTCATACTGTCAGCTGTGCTGTCAGACTGTCACTTGTCACCCTGTCCGTCCTGCCACTGTCTTCTTCTATTTTTCCTGTTCATGAACGTTGAATTTTCAGTGGCGGCGCGTACATTTTCGAATGAATGAGAAATGAATGAAAAAATAAATTACTGTCTTTAACACGTGGATTTCCGACACAAATGTCACTGACCTCAGATAACTCACAAATAACTCACAATTGGCCATCAACTCACAAAATCACTCACAGTCCCTGAAATAACTCACAAATGTGAGTTATAACTCACAAATTGGCAACCCTTCCACCTTGGCTGTGACCATAGCCGGTGTTGCCAGCTGCTGAACATGAAATGTCGCAAAACACTAAAACAGTTAGGGAAGAAACCGCTAGAAGTCGCTAAAGCGGGCGAAGAAAGCCCCTGTTGTCTGTTATTCTCTTCTCTGCTAATCTCTTCCTCTTCGTCGAATGTATCAATGTGAATTATTCATAACCGTTATCACCATATACCTAGTAAATATATTCGGATAACAAGGATATCCAAGTGAATCCAAAAAATAAAATAAATGACAGTCTGCGAGCGCAACTGTATTACAGCGCATGTGTCATCTGAAAATAGTGAAAATAAGAAAATACATCAGTTTGCAAAATTCCTTTCAGCAGGCGATGGCTTTGTAGTTAAGCGAAATATAACAATCAACGATCTAGATCAATAAAAAAGAATGCAGCTATGATCTGTCCGTACCCTGTTAAGATGACTTTAACGTCAATTTCCATCAAGGGACCCTAGCCGTGAGCAGGGAACAAAATCAACTTCAGCAAGTTCAGCAGCACAAACGAACAGACCTGCTATAGGTCGCGTGCACGATGACCGACCCTGGAGGCAAAATATTGAAACACAACCTCACTCTTTCATTTGTTTACAGAGGAATCAGAAGGTTGAAATAGTTTTTCACAATATTTTGGCATACGAATCGTGTTTCTTGCGTTATTCATTAATTCAAGCATGCCTTCGCATTGTACTGTTGTACAATGTACAAAAAATGCAGCAAGAGACTAGGGAATATGATTTTTCAGGTAAATAGTAATCTCACATAGTTATCATTATGAAATGTTGTCATGCCTTATTAAAATTCCTTCTGCCTTCTACCACTTCTGCAATACAAGCTAATACTGCTAATAGATTGAAAATGCCTACACCACACACGATCGTCAGCATGTCAGACCAGTCCTCCCGATTGATTGCATATGAATCCAATCTTCTTGCATTACTTTAGAAATATCGAAGACTGGAACCTTTGGCACGATAATACACTACACTGTTTTACCACTAACCAAACCGATTTATTAACGCCTCGACACGTGTTTCGCTAACTATGTTAGCATCTTCAGGAGAAGATTAAAACTAAATATCCTATTCTAGTGTGCTGCTTATATACTAGGTATATGTTCACCCAACTGTGAAAAATACTAACCGTCAAGTTAATGTTTGTCATGGTTGAGTTCACATGTTAATCTAAATTTTTATTTTACTAAACTATATAGAGGGCTATATGGAATAGGTCCATTATCCTTATTCATTACTCTATTACTATTCTTAAATATCTCTAAGCTTTCATATGCGTCTAGTTTTCTAATGTTATTAACTTGCTTAACTAATTTGAGGTTAGTAATATGTGCGTTATGATTGTGATTGAACATATGTTCGGCTACACAAGATTTATCTAACCTGCCATGTTTCAAATGGGCTATGTGTTCTTTGAACCTTGTTTTTATGGGTCGCCTGGTTTGGCCTATATATGTTTTATCACAATCATTACAACTTATTTCGTATATTCCCGACTTTTCAAGTGTGTCCACTTTATCTTTCGGATTGCCTAATAAATTACCTAGTGTACTAGTACACAGATTGATTTCATTTCCTCTCAGCAAAGAAAGATTCGATGCTGAAAGAAATGTTGTTTATAAAGTGGCTGGCGTTAATGGGTATGATATCAAAATAGTAGATAAATTAATACGTAGACATAAATTTAAGTTAACACTTCGATATTCTACGACTTTTCAAGCGGATAAAAAGAACTCTAGAAGAATCCCAATCCCGTACAATCCCAAGTATACGAAGGGACTTGATAAGGTTTTCAAAGACTTAGGTTTTGAAAGCGTTTATCAGTCTGGGCCAAAATTAGGCAATTTATTAGGCAATCCGAAAGATAAAGTGGACACACTTGAAAAGTCGGGAATATACGAAATAAGTTGTAATGATTGTGATAAAACATATATAGGCCAAACCAGGCGACCCATAAAAACAAGGTTCAAAGAACACATAGCCCATTTGAAACATGGCAGGTTAGATAAATCTTGTGTAGCCGAACATATGTTCAATCACAATCATAACACACATATTACTAACCTCAAATTAGTTAAGCAAGTTAATAACATTAGAAAACTAGACGCATATGAAAGCTTAGAGATATTTAAGAATAGTAATAGAGTAATGAATAAGGATAATGGACCTATTCCATATAGCCCTCTATATAGTTTAGTAAAATAAAAATTTAGATTAACATGTGAACTCAACCATGACAAACATTAACTTGACGGTTAGTATTTTTCACAGTTGGGTGAACATATACCTAGTATATAAGCAGCACACTAGAATAGGATATTTAGTTTTAATCTTCTCCTGAAGATGCTAACATAGTTAGCGAAACACGTGTCGAGGCGTTAATAAATTGGTTTGGTTAGTGATAAAACAGTGTAGTGTATTATTTTAGAAATTTCAGGTATATTTCAATTAGCTCTTATTGCAGAAGGAATTCCGACGAGAAATCAGAGAAATAACCAAATTTCAAAAATGAAAACTATATGTGAGTGACTATAGTAGGTACTTTCTTTTAAATCATAATATCATAATGTACCATCCGGATTCCTTCATCTTCTGCTGCAGTTTTTGTGCATTTTACAACAGCACAATGTGATGGCATGAGCGAATTGATGAATAGCGGAAAAATACGATTCATATGCCAAAATAATTGTGGAAAACTATTTCGAGCACTTGTGAACAAATAAGAAAAGTGACGTTGTGTTTCAATGTTTTGCCTCCAGCGTCGGTCATCTGACAGTTCTTGCACGCAACCCATATACACCCACAGAAATGTATTAATGTTCCAAATGTCAGGGCCAGCTGTTTATGTCACCATGACTCAAGACTCAAGCTGTCATATTTTGTCAACAAGATTTGCCTCGCCTATCTTTTGGAATTTAGTTAAAAATTGAAATTGTGTAATATTTAATATTTGAATAACGTATAGGTTGATTATAATCTAAATTGTCCTTCATTGTTGTTAACGGGGGTGAATTCCAAGAGGCAAATAGTACTTCATCATCGTACACTTTAAGAAACATGCATAGGTAAACAAAATTAACTACATGATTGATAATATTATTAATAGATCACCCATGGGGCGCGATGTTTCCAGGTATTTACTTGGTGGGTTTGGAAAGTATCTAAATGAACATGAGTGAATTTCGTCAGTTGAAAATTTCTGCTTTGAAGCAATAAACAGTGTTGTAGTTTAGCATGTGTCCTATGTTGTCCTAATTTCAGGGGTCCTCAAGATGAATAAGTTATAGATAGAAAATATGTCGTCTTCGCATAATGCAGATACTGTGTCTGTCTGTTCAGAGGCTTCAACTCTTCTGGACGGAAGTGTTATTTCAACAGTGCCTGACCGTCATGGATTCTTAGGGGGCTTTCAGTACTCTCCTGAACCCCGCCAAGGACCTCCACCAGAAACGGTGCTCAGAAGAGAAAGAAAATGGCTAAAGATGTTGTCACAGTGGAATTTTTATATGGAAAAGAATTATAGGAAGATCAGGGAGAGGTGCAGAAAAGGTGAATGTGTGTTCTGAATGTATTCAATCATTATCTTGTATTCCATATAGCATTCAGGGTGTTTCAAACTCCACAAAAGCTTCAAAGAAATTATTATGTTTCAGGTATACCAATGTCTGTGAGACCAAGAGCATGGTTATATCTGTGTGGTGGAAAATTGTTGATGGACAAACAGGCTGACAAATATGAAGAATGTCTCCAGGCAATTGGAGACACTAAATGTATTGATGATATCAAGAAAGACCTACATCGTCAGTTCCCACTTCATGAGATGTTCAGTTCAGAGGATAAACCTGGGTAAGAAAAGTAGCCACATATTACCTAATATATCTAGTTCACCACCAGAAACTTTTTTCATCTTATGGCTTGTGGATAAATGTAGATCCCATTGTTTTTTTCAGCAGAATGAGTATCAAAAAGTTCTTGTAAAACATCTGCCAAAAATCAGCTATTTTTATTTTACATCTCAGAAACACTAGTAGTTTTTTTTTGTGAAACTTCAACTCCACTACTAGATTACAAAGCCCTCAGATAATCCTAGGATTTCATGCAAAAGTATTAATCACCAAAAGAATGTGGAAGCAGCGTACATACATAAGACAAGTAGAATCAAAGTCTGAATTGGGCGAAAAAAGCCTGTAATTAGTAAGGTTGCGGTTCCTCTATTATCTGATAGATGCCAGCACACTCGGACGTCAAAGACGACTCGATGTTGCCAAGCTGATTATATCATGGTAACTTTCGTACTTTTTGAATTCTAGCCTTTCGGGGAAAAATACATTTGAAGGATTTATCTTGTGCTGTTGAATATCCAATGAATTTATTAATTTATTTCAAACTGAGTACATTTTTCTCATTACAGTTTCAACATTATTTGGTGATATGATTATGGACAATATATTCCTAGTCAAATTGCCAAGTAAATCTGTCAACTATGTGAAACAATTTTATGACTTCTCAATTTCTGTGTTTTATGAGTTTCGTGTTTCTTTTTCGTTGTGCTTAGCAGTGGTGTAGCGGTAGATTTATTGTATATGTTTGTGAAGGATATTTTATTGGATTGATCTTTTGCTATTGTGTTTACGTGTGTGGTGTGGAAGGTTGTTATTCCAACAACCTGTCCATTGGAGTACATTTGTTTAGATTTCCTAAAGATCTTATTAGGTAAGTGAAGAGTAAAAAGGTAGAAATAAAACTTTCAATAAATAATGAAAGCTGCTTCTATAGATAGTTGTTGAGTTTTTTTAAGAAGTTTTAACTTCAATTGCATTAGTGTTTAGAGGCAATAAAAGTTCACCATTATGGCTGATTTATATTCTCTAAATCCCCAAGAACATTCTTCGAAGAATTTTTTTTCAATACTCTGAAATGATTTCAAATGCAACTCTTATATCATAATAGGTGTATAATTTTTCTTTACATTCTTTAAGGTGCCGAGAATGGGCCTACAGATGTGGAATCCTTCACAAGTATGAAGGTCAACTCCACATGCTCTATAATTCTTACTATAGAGTATGTTCATCACATTTTGAATCAGAAATGATAGTTGAACTCAGAAAACATCTGAAAAAGCATTATTTATTGAAATTCGCTAATAAAAATTTCAAAACTATCAACGAAAGTGGGGAAAAATTACATAAAAAAATTGTTATTTGGAGACATGAATGAATTGATACTTGAATAATACTTTTCTCATACATACAAATTTGATAATATCCATTTGGGGAAGTACAAGGATACTTGTATTGATTTTGTTTTATTTATTTTGACACATTGACATAACTCGTTGATTAGTTGTTTATTTTTGTTATATGTATGTTATATGTATATGTTTATATACCCTTATTATAAACAAAGATGTTTCTGGGGGTAACAATGGACAAAACAACAACAATTATATATGAATAAAATTTATGAATGTTACAATAGATATTTTCCTTCATCACATCTCAAGAGTGCAAAGTAATAGTTTCTACTATGATTCCACCCAAAATGAATAATTTGTTAGATCTTCAACAATTACTTGTGGAAACTCGACACAAAAAAATGTGATTGTCCCGTTTATTTATGAATTTTGAATCTGAATGATTACTACCTATGTATTGAAAAGGAAAACACTGATTGTCATCAAAAAAAAAAAATTTCTACTTTGTAACATTCTTGATTATATTCGTAATATTTTTGAGAATGTGCCATGAACATCTAAATACTGGTTTAGTTTTGTTTTGTTTCAAATCTGATTTTCTGAATGACTCAAATAATATTATTTCGAAATATATCCTGAATTCCTGTAAGGATATGAATTTAATCAAGTAAGCTCGAATCCGAAATATGTGGTACGCCCGTGGATACAATCAAGAAAGCACATGATCTAGTACAGTTGATGTACATTTTTACGTTGCGACATCTACAAAATAATAGCGGAAGCGCACCCTTAAAATGCATGTTAGGTGGTTCAAGGTCATTGGCGGCCGTTTTCAGAGATCAAAGGATTTTCAGACTTTGCATCTACTTGTCTAATGTATGTACGCTGGTGGAAGCTCACTTTTGTTAATGAAAATTTCAGATAAAATATGGAACAGCAACTTGTCAACAACAAAAACAAGGATAAATCAACATACAGAGTGACCCATTTGAAAGTGCATCACCTTCATAATTCTTTTATCAATTTAGGGGTTCTGGTGATCTTTTTTTTTTAATGTGAAGGCCTACTAAAATACGCCACTGGAATTGACATCCTCTGAAATAGATGTATCAAGATTCATGAAGAAATATTTGAAATTAACAATTCTATGAAATTACTATCTATTAGGGCTGAAGGACACAGGTCATTTGCCTTTTGTACTGTGTTGGTGTAATAAAGATCATTTATTATTATTGTTACTATTTATAAGGCATTAAGCATGAGTTTATTTAATAAGAACATTTAATAGATATTTTTATAAAGATATTCCCATAAAGATATGCTTCCAGAATAATATTGAATTGAAACAAATTAATTGATTTCAGATTCTGAATTTTGTAACATTTTCTTTATAAAACCCCCTTAGGGGAGTTGAGTCAATGCATGATTAATAACTTGTCAGTAACTTAGTCATAGAATCTTTAATGTTGCATATTGCATGAAATTTGGTGCAGATCTATTTCAGAGGATGCTGATTCCAGTGGCGTATGCGGATTTTATTCTAAAAAAATCACAAATTTGAATTTCATAAAAAAGTGGACACTTCTTGGCTCCAAAATATGCCTACACATTCAAAAAAAAATAATTTTCCTCCATAAATAAGAAGGTTGGCCTGGTTTCAAATGAGTCATTCTGTATGTACATGAATTCATAAAAAATAATCTGTTTTCCATTTTCTAGTGGTTTTCAAAATTCATGAATTTGGTCAGTTACATTGTTCAAAAATACAAATTAATTACAAAATGTAAATATCAACACATTACATGAAAATTTAATATAGTTATTTAAGTCACAGTGTTGGTACTGTTGGTATGGAAAATATATGAAGAATTTTGATAGTCCTTAACTAGACACAGAAATGGACTGACACTGACTTGTCATGGATATATTTCAGAAATGTCAAATTAGAAAATAAGGTCTACTTTGGCGGCCGTTGCTATGGGTATCGGCCGCTAAACTTGCTCTAAAATTAACTATCTTGAATTTTAAAATAGCACAAAAATTGAACCAAGATGTGTACTTACTTATCATTTTCCTGCATACATTTTAACAAACTACCCAAATTTGAATTTAACTTAGTGTTTTTTTTTTCATGTGGTTGATTTGGTTGAATCTAAATTTTTTTTTCTGCAACTGACACAAAAGTCGTCCATTTTGATACTAAAATTAGCTCTTAAATTGACGTTTCTATTACTGACACAAAAATAGGTATGTTGCTAGGCAACATATTCAGTTCCTAGGAGCTAAAGTTGAATTTTAGTTCCTAGGAGCTAAAGTTGAACTTCAGCTCGTAGGAACTGAAAAGGATATACTGGACGTCATCAAGGATAAACAACATTGTGACGGCTGGTTATTTGGGTTGAGACGCATACCTGATTTGTTTCCGATTTCAGCAGATTTGGCATTTCATACCCATGCTGGAGATATAAATACACCTTACTATAGTTTAGTATTGGAATTATAAACATCTCAGTTAAGTATTTTTGTTTTGATCAGGGAAGCCTTCAAGATTCAAATACTTGCTTGATCTGTATTTCATTCCTTATTCTCAGGATGGATAACTTGTTTTTGAATAATCATGGCAAGCAATAGTTTTTTGTCTCAAACAACGATATTATTTAGCTTCATTTGATTATCAAGTCAAATATGGAGAGGAATAAATAATCACTATTATCATTGTTGATATGCTCACTAACTTAACATTTTCCACGTCTTGTTCCTATAGCTGGCACTGGCGCGGTATTTGCCATTAGAGCACCTGGTCCATACACAAATATGTCACTCTGTGGTTGTATTTATATTGAAACTACAATTCGAACATCCTTGAAAACCTAACCTGCTGTTAAGGCAGGTAGACTATTCTCACCACACGGATTATTTGTCAATATTTGTTGCATTGCATACATATGGCACGGCATTGGTGGTTACTTCACATGTTCATTTGAGTTAATTGTTTCGGTTGCAGAAAAAATAGCATGTTTCATTCGGATCAAAAGTGACTTTGTTCGACTCGCAAATTTTGCTTTCGCGCGGCTTCGCTAAACGCTCCGCCTCGCAAATGCAAAATTCGCTTGTCAAACAAAGTGTCACTTTTTATCCTAATAAAACGATCTACTATTTCGTTTGTATAGTGGATGGAGGATTCAGTCACAAATATCAGGAAATTATGAACTAAAAATCAACTTTGTTTTGGAAACCTTTAATTTTTCATAACTCTTGAAACTTGAACTAGAGAGTTCTCTTCTCTTCCTTATTTTTTCTACAGTAATTCCAAAGTAACCATATAAAACCAGGGGGAGACATAACAAGTCATTCATGAAACAATATTTTTTACAATCATACATACTTCCAAAGTTTCAAATAAGTTAGAATGAGATGGCTTTAAAAATTGACAACATTGTAAACTGTGCTTCAATGTTCACACTTTTCTTCATCAGTAGCATAGGTTGAGTGAGGAATAAGACAAATTTACTACAGTGACACCAATATTCCTAATATGCAAATGAAAAATCTTTGAGTTTAATCATTCAATTTTCATATCTATCAAATATTCATAGTACCTTAGGTACTCACCTAATTTTGATCCATCATTCAGTGGAATTTAAACAAAAGGAAAAAACGTTTCTTGCAATAATTTAGTTATATAACCTGCGGTAACTACATCACTGCTCAAGTTAACCTTGGGGGTTGTATGGTGAACTTTTTCATAATCCATGCAGGAACCATAATGAGACTTTTAATAATTGTCTCCATATACCAAATCAATTGAAACACAAAAATATAAATAATGATGACATATTTCAACCAGGGAACATACATACAGAATGAATATACATACATTATAATTATTTATAATTAATGTACCATAAATGCTTCCCTCGTTCTCAAACACAGGCGGTCGATCTAGGGCAATCCGCAAAAATTTGTCATCATCGTTTTTCAATCTGAAAACAATTTCGTCTCTCCTCTTTTTATATGTCTATGAACATAACCATATCATACGGAGAGATTCTTTCAGCGTTGCCAGACCTAGTACTTTCATACTAGATCTAGAACCTTTTCACTCTATCTAGTACGCCGATCGCATAATTCGTACGTTTTCCACGTTTTGTTTTTAAATATCGAAATATCGACATTACCAAAATGAACCAAAGAAAAGTGCAATGTGCAATATCAGTGAAATATGTCACTATTGTCTTCCAACAAAGTTTTAAGTCTTGTCCTTATTTATCATACTTGTACTCCTGTACTGTGCAGATGATTACCTGTCAATATTGTATATTGTCATTTGTCAATTGTTTTCCCGTTGCTCAAACTCATGATTATGAATAAAAATGAATGAAAGAATGACGATTGACTTGTTTTGAAGTGTTTTGACTAATGATAATGATAAATGAGATATTCACAATATTCAGTAAATAAGTTCTCATTATGATTTCCTTATCTACCCCCTCCCCTATCCCAACTCAATAGTAGGAAATTTGAATGAAAATTTAAACTAGTACTTTTCTTGAAAAACTAGTACTTTTTTGGTGATTTTTTAGGACATTTTGAATTGTGGGCTGGCAACGCTGGATTCTTTCATTATTTCCTTTTCTACCATCTAGTCTGTGCCACTGAACTAATTTCGATATCATGTCATAAATAATGTCTACTATCGATTCAAGTTGAGAATTCAATAACTATTTTATCATGATAGCATTCCTGGTTGTATTATGGCACCAACTACTATCTAGACTGCTTGTGGTCATATCCCAGCAACCTGAAAATGTCAGATTAGTTGGTCGCTGAAAAATGTTTCTGCTCAATGCACACAATGTAGTTTATGTCATTGCATAGAACATCTGAAATAGTTGAATGGAGCAGACTAGATTCCATAGTTGAAATATTTCCAATTAGTAAGGAAACACCTTGTACATTCAAGAAAACATTCATTCTTATTTTATTTCGTTTTATTTTTAATATTTAATAGTTGTTAGATGAATGTCTCTGATGAATGATTTGATGCTGTGTTCCTTAGGTCTTTCAATTCTTAGTGTGAAGGTCTAGTTTTAGTAAAATTATGTTTGTCTCTTGAACTGATACCTGTCATAGTAAAACGGTGTGGCAAATCATTAATACTGAAACAGGCAGGAAAAATAAACTATCAAACAATCCTGAGAATCTAACAGTTGAACAAATGAATGATTTTTTTATCAATAACATGAATTCTTCTCTGGAAAACTACCCTCAATCTCAAAACAGTCCAACAGTCCTGCTTGAAAAAAAGTATAATATAAACCACTCAATGTTCTTCAGACCAGTTACCAGGGATGATGTAAGAATAATAATAAATAAACTGAAAAACAAAAAAACAGAAGATATAAATGGAGTGAATACTTTCGTTATCAAAAGTTGTAAAACTCACATAATGGATCCTCTGACGGATATAATCAATTCATGTTTTATCGAAGGACATTTTCCACATTGGCAAAGTCCTCCCTATTCACAAAAAGGGTAATTATTCCGAAGCTGTTAACTTCAGACAAGTGTTCATTTTACCATCTCTCAAAAATTTTCGAATATGCTATATACTCACAACTAATGGATTTTATGGAATTAAATAATATCCTGAGTCCACATCAATTTGGCTTCAGAAGAGGTAAATCAACCTCAGATGCAATAAATTCGCTCATCAGCTATATAAAAGATATGCGTTCAAAAATAGAGAAAAATATATCGGCGTTTTCACAGATCTTACTTCAGTGTTTGATTGTGTTAATCATCAAATCCTCCTCGATAAATTACATTTCTATGGTGTCAGAGGTGTTTGCTGTAAAATGATAAAATCATATTTAGAAAAAAGACTCCAGGTTGTAGAATTTGGTCAGTCTCGTAGTGATGAAAAAGAATTGATAAGAGGTGTCCCTCAGGGCTCCATACTAGGACCGCTCCTCTTTATCATTTACATCAATGATCTACCACACTTCGTAAACTCATCTAATATAAAAACTACAATGTATGCAGATGATGCCACTTTGAGTATAGCTTTAGACGATTTGGTAACTCCTCAGCAAATTTTGAATATAGCAGTAGAGAAAGCAAGAAATTGGTTCACTACAAATGAGTTGATACTGAATGAACAAAAAACTAAAACATTAACTTTTGAAACGAGAAACATGGATCAAATAGAACAAGCAGCTGTTAAATTCTTGGGTGTGCAAATTGATTCAAATTTAACCTGGAAAGACCACATAAATAACCTTTGTACCAGACTTAGCAGGTCAACATATGCAATCAGACTGATTAAGAAATCTGTGAACCTTAATGCAGCTCTTATGACTTATCATTCAATATTCCATTCAGTTCTTAGGTATGGAATAATATCCTGGGGTTGTGCATCAAAAATTCATTTAGAAAGAGTATTTGTGCTACAAAAATTTGCCATAAGAAGTATAGCATCAGCTGAACTTGATGAAACGTGCAGACCACTATTGAAAAATCTCAAACTAATAACATTATATTCAGTTATTGTCTACGAAAATCTATTGAATATTCGATTGAATTTGATGAAATATTCCACTCACACAGATGTGCACGAATATAACACAAGAAACAAAAATGACCTTGTACTGAAAGCAAATAGACTGAGAAAAACAGATAATATAGGCATCAAACTATATGATACACTGCCAACTGATTTCCGAGAACTGCCAATAAAAAAATTCAAGGAGGCCATGAAGCATATTTTGATTGAAAACCCACTGTATGACATTCATGAATTTTCCGAAATAGTTGTGAGAAATAGGGATGCTTTTGGAGTGGCGTGAATGACTTTTTCTATACATATTTTCTGGATTTTAATGATTGCCAAACTTGTGCCAAACTTGAACATTGAATTCATTGAATTTATTATTTTCTTAAATAAGATATTCCATTTGAGTAACGCCAAAGAATTTTAGCATGTATATGTAGTATTTGTATTTTATATTTTGAATTGATGTACTTTATTGTCGTAATTTTATGAACTTTGCTCTTGTAGGTAACTGCTCTCAAATTTCGTGACGTGTCTATAAACTCTGTGTTTCTAAGATCAATAAAGAAAAAAAAAATTGAATGAAAGTATGAATGAATGAACAAATAAACATATCTGCCTGTTGAATATAAAATCCTACTATTCTAATCACTAATGAAAACGTTTGTGCCAGTCAACAGGAATTATTCAATGTATTGAAAGCTTACACAATCCACTTTCCTGACATTGGTTACTGTCAGGCACAGGCGCCTGTTGCAGCTTTTCTACTTATGCACATGCCTGCTATTGAGGCTTTCTGGTGCCTTGTGTCAATATCCAACAAATATTTGGAAGATTATTATTCACCCACAATGGATGTTGTACAGAGAGATGGCTTGATATTGCAAGGTAAAATTCAGTTTCATTCTCTTAGAAAATTACTGATTATGATCAATTCTGAATGCTTCTAAAGAATCATATCTTAAGATTTTTGGGATTTTCTCACCTTTGGCCATCAGGATCTCATTTCGCTTAAATGGAATGCTATAATCGCCCATATTAACAATATGGGGATAATACCCTGACATTAAAGGAAGCTCTAAGAGAGGCCAAGATCGTTACTGCCCATGTCAGCATTTCACAGCTGAATACGACGGGAATTTTGAAATCCTTTAGCTGCAAGCACTCAACTTTACTCTGGAGTTTACTAAAGAAAGAACAAATATCTGAATTTTGTGGTTCAAGGTTTGCGCGCGTTTCAAATTGCTAAAAGGATCCTCGGACTGCGCAGATAAAGCTGCGCATCAAATTCAATCACAAACTCATCTCGGCTTATGGTCAGGGTTATGTTAAAATCAGATTAATTTAGAAAAAACTTGAAAACTTGGACCTGAATCAGGAGACCTGAAAATAGATTATCTCAACTAAATTATACCTACCTACATCTATCCACTTACTTGAAATGATTCCAGAATCACATATCTGAGTACAGATTTATGGTGTCCTCTACAAACAACCATGTTCAAGAACATTTAGTTCATCATCTGAACTTGAACATGTAGATGATGATGATGAGCTGAAGCTCAATATGTGTTATGTAATGGGGACTTAGTTGAAGTTGCAAGTCTCTCCAACTTGTAGCAGGTCTTCTGGGGTTGCAACCACCGTCCTCCAAGAGGGGTGAGTGGACTGTATGTTGATTTGAGATAGCAAACTAGGGGACACACACGAGAGAGAATGAGATTACGAGTCACCAAGAATGAGTTTGTCACGTCAAACAATGTATATTTAAAAATACATGCGCGTATACACCCGATATCTATGCGAAATCTTGGTGATAGACCGGTCAGAATAGCCATCTTGACTTCTACAAAAAAATTTCAAGCCCATCGTAAACAAATAATGATTTTATCAACTAGAAATAAACTAAAGGGATTCCCAATGAAGGAAATAAATTAAAATAAGATATTTTTGATATTTTATATATACACTATAACTATATATTTACAAACTGATGTACAGGGCGATAGTTTACGCGTGGCGTAAACTCTCTCATGATAGTCAAGAATAGTTCTTGCCTAGAGGTTCGTACTGCTTTTATATTTTATATTGGTACTGCATGATCCAAAATACTAGATTCGGATTTTTCTTCAGGATTGTTGAAGAAAGTGTGCCCACCTGTTTATAGACACTTGAAGAAAGTGAATGCAGAACCTATGTTCTATTGTACCGAATGGTTTTTATGTGCATTCACAAGAACCTTACCTTGGGATACTCTGTTGAGGATTTGGGATATTTTCCTTTGTGAAGGAGTTAAAGTACTTTTCAAAACTTCACTGGTTATTCTTATTGGTAAGAATTCATATTATTTCTCTCAAGATATTATACAGGTCTTTACAGAAACTCACCTTATATTCCTCAGACCATAACAATTCGATATAAGCAAAGCTACCTCTGCACATAGTTGCTTGGTTTGGGCGTTAGACGACTGAATTTTGCTTCATAACTGTAAAACTGCTTATGAGATTTTACTCTTTTCCATTTACATTGAAATCTTGTCTACGGTGAAATTTTGTGAAAATCTAGGATTGGATAGATCAAATCATGCTGAAAAAGAAATGTAATTTGGTCCAAGGTCCGTTATGCCCGTTAAAAAAAGTTATAAGCTCTTGAAGGCAAACGAGATAAGCTCTACCTGAACAGCATATCCTGTGTATAATATGATATTTTTGAGTTCTCAGATAATGGTCATTCTTGTTATGTCAGTGAAATTCATTGAGCAAAAGCGTATTACTTTGTTCAAATTCGTTGCAAATCTCGACCGGGGACTATTAGTAGCTTCTCCGTATTCGCGAGATTCACGAAGTGGTTGCCATCTAGGTAACATAATACGAACTTCAAACTGGGGAAAAACAAACTGTTGTCTATGGATAAAGTGCATAGACTACATTTCATACAGCTTGCTGTAGCTGTAGTTGTCAAACTTGTCAATGACATAAAGTGTTCGCACTGTTGGTAGTGATGATGGTTGAGTTGGTTAATTGTTTACATTATTACATTTTTATTAGTTAAGTGAACAGTGAACGGGTGAATAATTGGAGATAGTTCAAACAATTCAAACTAATTATTACGAGCAAATCAATTGACATATAAAAAAACAGCTACAACATCTTCACAATACCCAGATTGTCCTGCTTCGCAGGAACAAATACAAATCCATTGTTCTGCAGGAATTCCTCTTTCCCAACTTCAATTTTACTTCATGTGGGGAAGATTTCATCGCCGAAGTTTGTAGACAAAGTGCAAAAATGTGCATTTTGTTAAAGTCTTCTGCCTCACACAAAATCACATGATTAGCACGGAGAACTGCTTCTCCTTCCAGTACTGGTTGGCTTTTTCCATCTGAATAGAGCAAAATATCTGCCAAAAGAACCTTTACAACAGGCATTATTAGCGTTTTCGATCAAATATTGACAATTAATGTCAAGAAATTTAAAAACTTATCACTCTAATCAGTACATAGTACATACGCTAATGGTACTAATGGGATTGAGTGAGGATTGAGTTTGTTTTCCCCCAGTTTTGACGTGGCTTCGACATGGAACGATGAAAACCGAGTGCCACCTGGTGACATTGATTCCCGCCAATAACGTTAACCACCAATCAATGGTCGCATTATTATTCCATCAGCGTTGACATGTTTTCGACAAGATTGGGCATTTTCAGGGATAAAAATATTATTTACAATATATACACTGACTCTAGCGACTAATGATAGGTGAAGTAAATGGATGGGAAAGACAACATTCAGGTTCATAGAATGAACGTTATTCCGAAGTCGTTGCTCTATAATGGATCAATTACAGTTCAGAAATAAACGAGTACGATCGGTAAGGCCTATATCCTTTCTTCCTAGAACCTGTCGACGATGTATTGCCATTGCTTGCTGCTCAACATTTTGATCTCGATCGATGCCTGCCATAGCATCAATATTGCCTTTGCTATCGCATATAAAGGAACGAAACCTATTCTGTGAAGCCATCTTATATGTATTTGAACAAAGGAATACGCTTTTGCTCAATGACTTTCACTGACATAACATGAATGACCGATATCTGACAACTCGAAAATATCATATTAGCCAAAACCATATTACACACAGGATGTGCTGTTCTGGTAGAGGTTATCTCATTTGGCTTCAAGAGTTCATAACTTCTTATAACGGGCATAACGGATCTTGGACCAAATGACATTTCTTGTTCAGCATGATTTGATCTATCCAATCCTAGATTTTCACAAAATTTCACCGTAGACAATATTTCGATATAAATGGTGCGGGGTCCTTTGGTACGTTGGCATAGCTTCATTGGCAGTTAAAACCAATATTATGATAATGATAAATTATCATTCCATAAGCGTATAACTAGATTTCTTTAGTAAATAAACATCTAAAACTTCTACGCACGATGTTCCATGAACATTATAGGAATTTCCTTTCGTGTGCGAAAATGCCAATGGAAGGAAAGGTGTTTGGATATGAAATTTGGATTGCGTAACTTATATACTACAAAAAAAGGTACTCATGATAAATTTCGATTACCCTCAAAGCATTAGTTAACATTGAAAAGATCAACAGATATGTCATGAAAACTAATCAAATTGCTAATCATTTTCAGGTATACTTACAAAGATTTATAAGACAAAAAAAATTTAAACAAGCTAATTCACCTCAATACATAGTTGCTCAATCCGGCGCTAGACGGCTCTGGCTTACTCAGTACAAAAAAATCAACAAAAATTAGGTCATAGCACATTTGATTTTTTTGTATCCGTGGAAATGATGACAATTTTTAGCAATTTTCAAGAAATAACTGTCAATCGTTTTAGTGTTGAATGATGGTTTGAATTACTAGAATTCAAATTGTGTCGAAATCATGAGAGTAATGGAATGTTATCAAGAGTACCTTTTTTGTTGTAAATGAGTTACGCAATCCAAATACCATATTCAAACCCCTTTCGTTCCATTGGTGTAGAAGTTGTAGATTTTTATTTACAGAAAATCAAGTTCTACGCCCAGGGAATGATTTTTTCTGCAAAATTAGATTTTGAAGTTGACGCTTTCTTACTGAGACGAAAAAATGATTAGTATCTATGTTGCTAGGCAACAATTTTAGTGTCTAGGAGCTACAGTTGGAGTTTTAACTCCTAGGAATTAAAAACATGTCGGATGACAGCTGATATGAAAGCTGCTTTGACACTGACAGGCTCAAGTGTCAAAAATTTCCAGTTATAATATCACGAGAGCTTCCATTGTTTCCGGAAATTTCCGAAATATTCGTGTTCGTAAAAAAATTCCCGGATATTAATTGAAGCTAAAGTGGTATTCGGTAAAATAATTTCACACTGAAATATTATTAAAAAATTACTTGGATTATGACGATTTTTGATGGTTTTGACATTTGAATAGTAGGCTTTGTATGTTAACTCAAAAGAATAATAAATATTTTTATTTACGTATGTCATTCTTCATGTCAAAACTGAAGAGTAGGTATAATATCAAAGTGTTTATATGAAAATTAGGGTTGTTTGTAATGAAATGTAAGAACTAACGAATAGTAACAACATGTGTTTTTGTAAATTTCGAATTTGCCAGTATACCTACATAATATTATATGGTAAACTGTTGATGAATGATATTTATTTATTTACTTATAGAATGAACTCGAAATAATCTGAAGTTGAATGTAAATGTCATTTAACCTATAAACTTCAAAAAATTTCCACTATAATTTCATGCTCCGGCCCCCAAGAAGGAGGGAAACAATTTCAAGAAATTTGTTTAGTTGCTATGGTAACGATACGAAATACAGGCTTTAAACTGATCGAAAATGTTTGGTGTGAAATTGTCACTTATATTTTATTAATCAGGTATCAATTATTTCGAATGCAGAAAAAATAGCATGTTTCATTCGGATCAAAAGTGACTCTGGCCACGTTTATACCGTGTCTTGGTAAGCTGACTAATGACTTTATTTTGACTAAATACCCTTGGTCCGTTTGGTATAAACTGTATACTTGATAAAGTTATGATGAACAAAACGGTGTAAACATTTTGGTCTACTTTTGTATAGCCTTGAATTGACTTGAGTGCAAGTGGCAGTTATTTCATGAGTTCTGATAATGATATTTCATTCAATTTCAGCTAATTTTACGAATTCAAGGGGTGTTCCTAACTCAAAAAAATAATCAAATCAAAACAAATTTGGTAACGTTAGTCAACTGAAGATACATGGTGTAAACATGCGTATATAAGGCATTTGGTCTGAATTTAGTTAGATCTCCTTGGTAAGCATACCAACTATCCATACGTTATAAACATGGCCTCTGTTTGATTCGCAAAATTTGCGTGTCACATTTGATCCTAATTAAACAATGTATTGTTATCAATTTCATGATATGGGTTTAATTGTCCAATAAAGCTATGCCAACGTACCGAATTTGAGTAAAATCTCATGAACCGTTTGAAAGTTATAGGTCAAAAATGATTTGAAAATTGTAACTTCAGAGTCATCTAGCGCTCAAACTAAGTTACTTTGTATTGAGTTAAGTTTTTTTAATGACCTTTTAGGGACACCCTGTATATGGTATTGAAATCAAAAACTTGATTGAACAGTTTTTATATTCCAGGTTGTTTGGGTACTGCCAAGAGTAGAAAACAGTGTCCAGGACTTTGTGAAACATTAGCTAGAATAAGAAATCCACCTGAGGATATTCTTTCTGAAGAAAACCTCATTTATAATGTATGTAGATTTTTGAATACAATATCCACCATTAAAATAAGTTATTCAATATTCAATAATCATGTTTCTATTTTTTATTTTTTGATATTAATCCCATTGCTTCAGGTCAATAGATTGGACCTTACGGAAAGGGATTTTCAAGAGCAGCATCAAAAGCAAACGAAAAAAATGAAACTTGAGAGAGCTCATAGAGATGGTGCAACTCTGAGGTAGAAATGGGTAAGAACCTATAGCTATTTTTTTTAACCAAAGATTTCATCAATGCAGTCAATTGACCTTTTATAATGGGCGAATGGACTGATAAGGAATTATTGGCATTCAATTACTCCACTGTGTCGTTAGGGAACTAAATTAATGTTTGCAACACTTCTCTTTTGTTATGTAAACAATGAGTATATGCGTTGTTCAAAATTGTTGAATTTCAGAGCTCATTTCAAACGTACCGTCATGGCCGCCATTTGGCGATACGTCGAATAAATGGTGACGTCAGTTTTTATGCTGTTTCATTATTGGTCAGATAATCTTCCATTTCCACTCGTGAAGCAAAGTTGTCAAGTATTGAATTATAATCAATTCATCAAGAAGATTAGAGTCCTGTCATGGAATAAAACACAAGATAAATCATAATATAAGGAAGTTTTGATAAAATAGTTCATTTTGTAAATTTTTTCAGCAACCAGCATGTCTAAATATCTCTTATTGTGTGTTTGTGCTTATTGGTCACAACATCAAAACAAACCACTCAGAAGTATTCAAGTTTCTGCCGTTAGGTAGAGCAACGTGTTATTTTCTATCACGAATTGTTGATTTTAGCACCTTAAAATCGAATGAAAAATTCTAAAGAAATATGGAATTGAAAGGTATTTGAGTGATAATCTATTTGAGAAAAAAAACAAGTCCATTGGCTTATTGTCAAATTTCATGAAATGGCAAAATAATTTATTGGTTTTTTGTACTGTGGCTCACATTTTGCAGTATTTCAGGATGATACAATTTTTCATTCCAGTTATACTTATTATGAAGATTTATTATAATTTGAATAATGGTTTATAGATCTTTATTCATTTGTTTTTCATTTATACAACCCACTTGTTATTTTTGTATTTTGATAGTAAATTGTGAGTTGTTAACGCGTATTATAAATTGATACATTTATAATTCACTTGACATTCATGCGTTTTGAAGTGGGACCAAAATACAGTATGGTGCAAATGAAAGGAATAATTTCACTTTTAACCAAACTGTCCATTTCTGAGAAATCTCCTGCAACATGTCGAGTTTTGTTTTCAATTTTCCGCATTTATAAGTGGAATTCGAATATAAAGGGTGATACACGTTTGAGTTCTGACGGCACACCCTGTATACTAATCAATTTCTGGGATCTCCATGGAAAGCTGAATTCAAAAATATGTTACACATAGGGTTCGTATACAGTGCGTCCGTTGAAATGAGTGCACTGGTGAAGTAATAGATAAATTCATTCATAGCCAAACTATCCTTTTCGGAGGAATCTCCCGAAACAGTCGATTTTTATTTTCAATTTGCCACATTTATAGAAACAAATTAAATATACAGGGTGATTCACGTTTGAGTTCTGACATCCGCGACAATTTTTTCAAACGCAACACCCTATACCTCATTCTTTTTTCCGCATCTATGAGAAACTGGATTCAAAATAATATCACACATTGGTAAGTATGCAGTGCGTTTGTCAAATTCAGTACATTCGTAAAATGGGGTCGCACTGTATATGAAATCTATGTGTGACTGGAATTCATCTTTTCCTGATGATTCCGAAAATTGAATAATATATAGGGCGTTCTATTTGAAAAAATCGTCATGGACGTCAGAACTCGATAGTCGATCACCTTGTATTTTCAACTTTCACTCATAAATGTGGAAAATTGAAAATAAAAATCGCCGGTTTCAGCAAATTTCTCAGAAATGGATAGTTCGGCTAAAAATAATTGATTAACTAGGTAATTTATGATATTTAATTCAACGGATGCACTGTACACAAACCTTATGTGTAATATATTTTTAGATTCAGTTTTTCACCAAAATTCCAACTACTGGTACTGGTAGGGGACGTTTACACGTCAGCAACTACCTAGTGGGACCTTTTTGCAAGCCCCAAGGTGTTTTTAATGAGTGATGTGGTTTGCTTAAGAGAGCTGGCTAACACCCTTTTCAGGTACCGTCCATCAGCTCTCTTTCAGAGTGTTTCCACTGCCATCTACATACACCGTCCTACTTCTTCTCTGAAGCTCACAACCACATCATCATCCAGGATCTACCCCCAGCCGATGCTCTGATACTTTACAATATTTAATTCGTAAATAAAATATTGAAAAAAGTTCCTTGCTTTGGCTGGGGATCGAACCCACGACCTCACGGTCGTGAGACGTATTAAAGCGTTTTATTTTTGTTCCAAATAATTATTTTACATCACATACTACACATACAGAGTGGGCCGTTGAAAACGAAACAGAGGCTCTGTAGGTCGCCAAAACCGGATTATAAAAAAAATCTGATACACGTCAACTATATTTTCGAGGGGGACATCGTTCTAAAATATTTTCAGCCCTGCGGCGTTGCCGCTTCTAGTGAAAAGAAGCAACAACTTTGTTATTTCAAATGGAACACCATGTATTTTATTGTATTTTTAGATTCTCCCCGAAGATCTGATTTCATCAATGTATCACACTTGGGGTCCAGCTGTAATGGTTTCAGGGATATAAAGTGTTCAAAATCGAGATTTTTCAACTTTAGCATTTTTTTGTGTCGAAACTATTCATTATTGGTCAAAACGACATTCATGTCCCTATCTCAACTTGTGATTTACTATCTACTAACATTTAATTGGAACAAATACAGGGTGATCAGAATTCTGAATCTTGAACCACCCTGTATTTGTTTCAAATAAATGTCAGTAGATAGTAAATCACAAGTTGAGATAGGGACATGAATGTCGTTTTGACCAATAATGAATAGTTTCGACACAAAAAAATGCTAAAGTTGAAAAATCTCGATTTTGAACACTTTATATCCCTGAAACCATTACAGCTGGACCCCAAGTGTGATACATTGATGAAATCAGCTCTTCGGGGAGAATCTAAAAATACAATAAAATACATGGTGTTCCATTCGAAATAACAAAGTTGTTGCTTCTTTTCTCTAGAAGCGGCAACGCCGCAGGGCTGAAAATATTTTAGAACGATGTCCCCCTCGAAAATATAGTTGACGTGTTTCAGATTTTTTTTTTATAATCCGGTTTTGGCGACCTACAGAGCCTCTGTTTCGTTTTCAACGGCCCACTCTGTATATATACAGTGTCTTTCAAAAGTATCGGAACGGTATCATATTTCAGGAACGGCTTGAGAAAAATTCACGAAATTTTCTACAGGGTGATTATTGATGATGTCCGATTCAATGGTGGCATCGGCAATGTTGCCAAGCTTACAGTTTTTCAGATATTAGGAGTAACTTTATTTTTTCAAATGGAATACCCGATTTATTTTTATTGCAATTAATTAAGCGCCTCCTAATTACTTGAGTCCCTGAATATCAGATTCGTAATTAACGTGATTTTCGAAATGACAACATAGCATTTTCGTTAAAAAGTTCTGGAACGGTCCCATATTTCAGAAACGGCTCAAAGAAAATTTATGAAAACTTCGACAGGATGGTTGTTGATGATGCCCGATTCAATGGTGATATCGGCAATGTTGCCAAATCAACAGTTTTTCAGATATTTAGGGTAACTACATTTTTTCAAATGGAATACCCTATTTGTTTTCATTGCAATACATTCAGCGACGCCTCATTACTAATATCTGAAAAACTGATGATTTGGCAACATTGCCGATATCATCATTGAATCGGGCATCATCAGAAACCATCTTGTATAAAATATCATGAATTTTCCTTGAACCGTATTGAAAATATTTGAAAGTTCCCAGACTTTTGAACGAAAATGCCATGTTGTCATATTTCGAAAACCACTTCAATTTAAAATCTGATATTTGGAGACATAAGTAATGAGGCGTCGCTGAATGTATTGCAATGAAAAAAAATAGGGTATTCCATTTGAAAAAATAAAGTTACTCCTAATATCTGAAAAACTGTAAACTTGGCAACATTGCCGACGCCACCATTGAATCGGACATCATCAATAATCTCCCTGTAGAAAATTTCGTGAATTTTTCTCAAGCCGTTCCTGAAATATGAGACCGTTCCGATACTTTTGAAAGACACTGTATAAAAACTTTCTGTGTATTGTGGTCCTCCGCGTGGTGCAGAGTTGGCTGATGTTGGCCAAGGAATGTGGGTGTATGTGCGAGGTGTTAGTCACAGAGAATGGTCGTGAGACGGGCGCTCTTCCATTGCGCCAATCCCGGTCCCCTAAAATTGAATAACATACAGGGAGTTCAAAATAACCCGATTTGAAGCAACTTACCTAATTCTGAAATTGCACCGTTTTTGAGATACAGGGTGCTAAGCTCGGTGCTAAGGTTAAAAAATTAAAATTGACAGGTTCACTCCAAGAAAGTATTGTAAAAAATCCATTTTCGTACCGCTAATTCACCAAATAACATCCACGAAGATACCAGCGAACATTTTTTATTGAAAATGATTTAAATATTTGTTGATTTCTACCCAATTGGAGTGGCACAAAATCACTATTTTAGGACGTCAAAATATTATTCCGTCATTAAAACGTCATGAAAAATTTCCGATTTCATACGCTGGTGGGTACCCACGAGAAAAAAATTTCCACTAGAATACATAATTAAATCACTGGTGTGAAATTTTCACTTATAATATCACGGAGCTTCAATTATTTCCGGAAATTTTTTCGAGAACACGAATTTTTTAAATATTCGTGTTCGAGAAAAAACTCCCGGATATTGATTGAAGCTAAAGTGGTATTCGGTAGGAAACTTTCACACTGAAATAATATATTGCAAGTATACGTATATAATATTATATGGTAAACTGTTGATAAATGATTTTTATTTATTGACTTATAGAATGAACTCGAAATAATCTGAAGTTGAATGTAAATGTCATTTAACCTATAAACGTCAAAAGATTTCCAGTGTAATTTCATGCTCCATCCTCCAAGGAGGAGGAAAAAATTTCCAAGAAATCTATTTAGTTGCTATGGTAACGATACGAAATACAGGCTTTAAATTGATCGGAAATGTTTGGTATGAAATTTTCACAGGAATACTTTTTTTGCAATATGTTTTCCTTTACGAAAAAATTGAGAAACTACACTGAGAAAAAAGTAATGGTCATTCTAAACCATGAGAAGTGCATTCGTAAGCGCCCTCTAATGGCAGTGACAGTGAAAAACTGTTCGTATTCGAGTTTCGCATTTCAAAAAAACCCGGATACCAATTTTTGAAGTGATACGTTTCCAAATGTCCGAAAATTCTGGAAAATTCCCTTTTAATTTTTTGAATTTACCATTCTGTATCTCGAAAACGGAACAATTTCGGACAAAGGTAAGTTGCTTCATATCGGCTTATTCTTCCATTTGAATAAAATTTCGCGGACGTCAGAACTCAAACATGGATCCCTGTATATTCAATTTTCAATAATAAATGTGGGAAATTGAAAATAAAAATTGACCTGTTTTAGGCACAGAAATGGACTGTTTGGCCAGAAATGAATTTATTCCTTTCACCATACTGTTTAAAAGTATTGCCTAAAAATCTTTTATTATTGGAGCCCAGAGAAGATGTCCCAAACTCGATAAAAAAGTTGCGAATATAATCGAAACATATTCTATTAAGATATGCAACCTTAATTTTTTCTAGGTTGGTATAGTCTTTCCAAACTGAGTTGGAACAGCTTTTACGAAAAGCTCCGCTACGCGCTTTGGTCCCTTCATCAGTGTCAATGTCAAACGAGCGAAAAGTGTGTTTTTTGTGGAAATCTTATCATTTGTGAAGTTTCTACAATTGTCAATGTCTTATAAAACTCTTATGATAATAATATACAATTGAAGGTTCCATTGGTTACATATTGCAGCAAATATGTTCAAAAATTGTTGACAGCTATTTTTGGGTTAGTCTCAAACCCATGGACGTATAAACAAAGAAGGACCCATTTATTTACATCGTAATGTGAAGTCAGAGAATACGGTCACAGCATATCACCTGATGTTGAATTGGAGGTTGTCACGTCCTGTCGCTAATAATTCCTAACCTCAGTCTAATCCTCTCAAGTATTTTTACTTACCTCTTTTGTAATCATCTATTCAATTAAATGTTCATTATGATCCAATTCATAGAACTCAAGGAATATATCATACGTCCAAAGATAGTCACAATCAAATATTATAAAACTGTCGTTATACATTATTTCAAAGTTATTCTGTGAAGGTTACCGAGATTATACACAACCGACAACGCCGCTGCAAAACAGGCTCGTTTCGTGATGTTTCGTGCTTTCGGCGAGTTCGGCGTTGTTCGTTTATGTTAATGTGTTCGAGGAAGTTTATTGTTTTCGTTGTTTTTTGAGTGAATTTTCTTATTTCTTTTGTGAAAAGTTGATAGACAGAGACTAATAATGGTGTTACACTGCTGGATTTGCGAAAAAACAAAGTTTTAATACCCAAATTTCACCTTCCATTCGTAAGTACTATTTGTTTACATGTTTGAATTAGAGTTTCATAGGCGTAACAATTGATATTTTCATCAGATAGAGAATGCGAAGTCTCGATGTATTTCTTCATATATGTATATATCAATTTTTTTACGTTCATAATTTATCTGAGAACATTTCTTTTCAATGGTTTTCTGTTAAGAGGAAGTTGTACTATGATATAAAGCAATAGTGCAAGTGCTCGTGCAAGGGTTTCGTAGTCCCTAACTTTTCACGGTCATTTCTCATTTTGAGTGAATGAAAAAAATTGTACATATTCATGAAGATCTTATAAATGTTCCTGCCGTCTTACTTTTTCGAAATTTGATTCGGTTCTTGAGAAAAAAAATTTGAAAATCATCAAAAAACACGTTATTTTGCGATTTTTTTAGAAAAAACTGAATCAAATTTCGAAAAAGTGAGACGACAGGAACATAGATTAGATCTTCACAAATATGTACTGATTTTTTCATTCACTCGAAATGAAAAATGAACATAAAAAGTTAGGGACTACGAAACCCTTGCATGGCAACAATTTATGTCCAGAGAGTAACGCCGCTCTCAGAATTTATAGGAATTACCATTTATGAAAGGAGATGAAAGAGACATGCCTTATTTGCAATGTTTACGAGGGTCTGGCATGTGTAAAAAATTGAAATTTCATAATTTCAGAGGGATATCATATCATCATTATTTCATATCATTTCAGACTGTTTCAATATACCTAGAAATTCAAGAATATACGGCAATGTTACGGTGAGGTTCTCAAAATTAACATTCAATTATAAAATTCGAAACATGAATAATAATTGTGAATAAGTATATATAAATATAAATAATTATGCGAATTGAAATGAATGCTCAGTACACTATACATGAATTATATCCATGATGTCTCATTTCCTAATGAGACAATTTTTCCCTTGTGATAATTAATTATTGTTAAATATTCATTGAACTATGTACATTTGTTTCTTATCCTTACTACAAGGTTCACTTCGTAAGGGTTTTTCCAGTTTATTCAAAATACCTATCTGTATGTTCCAATGTATATATTTTGTAAACGTTTTTGAATAAACTTATATTATTATTATCAATATTTCTTGAGTTCAAGAATCATGGAATATCTTGAAAAATAAAACGTTATAAACGTTTATTAACGCGTATAATTTGAATTAGGATAACCTCGGGAATAACAAGGACGGTCGAATCAGAAACAATTGTGGAAACGATAGAAAATCTACTGCCATCCAGTTATAGGCATATCAAAACAATATTTATCGTAATAAGAAAGGATGCACTTTTTTGTGGATATCAAAGTTTTTTTGACGACGACTCATTAGCGCTGCGGTTTGACAGGCGTCTGTCATTATTATTATACATTTGTGATGTGATAGAAATTGTAGTTATCTAGCTCCTATAATTCTATATTTTTTATTACTTATTTTTTTTCTGTGTTATTTGCATTACATGTCATATAGAAGCAAGTATACAGGGTGTTTCATAATTGAATGCTGATCCTACAGGGTGATAATCCTTGGATGATTTTAAGAAAAATTCTTCATGTGAACATAGGTCCGTAACAGCTTCGTTTCTGAGATACAGGATGTTGAAATTTAACAAAAAAATCAGTTATTTCCCAATATCTCTGAAACCGCTCTGGCTTCATTACAAATACTTAAAAATAGTTACCATAAAATTATGAAAATATTGCTCAGATCTTTTGGTTACCACAATTGTGAAATTATGACTAAGAGTAAAAATCGGATAGGGACAAGCAAATGAATGCATTTTATTTTCTAACTCAAAAACCGTTCGCCGGACGAAAAAAAGACAGGAGACCATTTTTATGAGAAGATTGAGGATAAATACAAAAATAATATTCATTTGGAAAAAAGACAGTGGCGTATCATTATTTTGATGAAAAATATGACAGGGTATGTTAACAGGGACGCCACTGATGGAAATTAAGAAATCCTTCATTATGGAAAAAATGTATTTCTATCCATACTCGGCATGTACCAAAATTGAAGGAAAAAGCCAGAGCGGTTCCAGAGATATTGGGGAATAACTGATTTTTTTTGTTAAATTTCAACATCCTGTATCTCAGAAACGAAGCTGTTACGGACCTATGTTCACATGAAGAATTTTTCTTAAAATCATCCAAGGATTATTGCCCTTTAGGATCAGCATTCAATTATGAAACACCCTGTATAATGTATTTTAGTTTCAAAAATGAAAATGAAATGATAATCAGTCATATTGTCTAGTAATAATCCTTATCCTTTTCATAAAATGTTAGCTATGAATGAGGATATAGTTGACAGTATTTTGCATCTGCATCGTTATCAAATAGATTCCCAAACTGATCGGATTGAGTGATCATCAATTAATCAGAGAAAAAGTTGTTCTTCAGGGGGTCAAGAAAGTGGTTGATGAAGAAGTGAGAATAATAGATAACATAGTGTATATACACTACACTGTTTTACCACTAACCAAACCGATTTTTTAACGCCTCGACACGTGTTTCGCTAACTATGTTAGCATCTTCAGGAGAAGATTAAAACTGTTTTAATCTTCTCCTGAAGATGCTAACATAGTTAGCGAAACACGTGTCGAGGCGTTAAAAAATCGGTTTGGTTAGTGGTAAAACAGTGTAGTGTATTATCGTGCCAAAGGTTCCAGTCTTCGATATATAGTGTATATAAATTTATTTTGACCTCATTACACGTGGTAGTTCTGTGTCTCAACAATTTTGGGACACTCTTTATAGTTGGTTTGTTGGTGTACCATATGGAAAAAGATACAAAACTTTCAATGATTCCTTAAATAGTACCGAAATTTCATGTTTTTAATAATCTATTTTGCGTACCAGTTCACCACACCACAGTTATATAAAATCTATTATTCAATATGTGAAAACACAAATCTGTATTTGTTATGTTCACTTGGTATAACCCATAGCGACCCGGATTGATAAACGGTCATTAGTGATTGGTATTCAGTTTTTAGTCGCTATTTGCATTTTGGATTCCGAAATTTACTATCACGATAATTCATTTTCGCACGCCGCTGCCGTTTGAGGAAATGGCACAGTCTATCGTTACCGTTTCCCTTCCCCTCAACCCGTTTGCCTATATCTCTAAGACTACAAAACATTACATGCTGAAAGTATAGAGTTGCTGTGTCCTTCTTTTTTATACGTCCATGCTCAAACCCTACTTCGAGTATGGACAAACTCCTCAATTTTGAAATCGTGGGTTCAATAATTCTATTTTAAATTATTTTTTCAGGGAGTTCATAATATTTTCCGGCTGATTTGACCAAAAACAAGACAGTATTGAGAGTATTCACTTCTAGAAGTAAGCACATACTGGTCTGATTGACTGGCACCTGAATATTGTAAAAACAATGTTGTAAGTTGTACATTTAAGAATTATTATATACATTTTATTATATTACTGGTTATTAGGTTTGAGTGGTCACATTTTTTTTGTAAAATAAGAGTTGAAATGAGAGCACTTTTATTGTATATAATATAGTATAATAAACAATTAGGTTGGGACCAATTATGAATTGAAATTTGTTTCAAATGTTATCTATTCTAATGTTATAATTATATAAATTATGCATTTCTTTTTTATGACGACGCAATACACAATATGACTTATTTGAATGTTTCATAACTGAAAACATATTTTCTACATATTATCACTATATTCATTTAATTTTGAAAAAATTTGTCAAATGAGTCAATTTTATAATAATATAATCACTATCAACTAAGAGAAGTCTCTCCACTTTTTTGTGAATAGTTGATGTTATTCAAAATCGCTGAGCTGTCAGAGATGAGTGAAATTCAAATTAGGATTGTATAGACTGAGATGTATAGACCTTTAGATGACAAATGACTATCATTCTTTACATCTAGTTGAATCTAATTACTGAACAGCTAGTAATTTTTTCATCATATAAGATGAAATTAATACTTTTAACTTTTAAAGAGCCCACACCTACTTCACTTTCAAGTTTCAACAGATAGAAATTGGTCACTTTTATCAGATAATAATAATATTGATTGTTCATTGTTTGAATAAAATGGCCATCGACCATAGTCCTTCAGACAGTGAGAATATGTAAATTTTTTCGTTTACTTTACAACTTGTCTATTTGAACAATAAGTAATAAAACACAGAAATTAAAAAGTGCAGTAACGAACGCCCATTGGGTTTGATGGTTGCATGACAGAAAGTAAATACTGTCAATTTTGAAACGGAACAATAAAAACACGTCTGAATGAAAAGTCCTAAATGAAAACCTAATAGATGAGAGGTATAATAATTGTGCCTGTCAATGGCGCTAGTTTATTGAAAAATGTCAATAGTTCATTTGTTTCCATGGAATATTTGTCAATATGGACAATTTTAGGTTGTCGCTATTTTGAAAGACACACATTCTTTATCAGTCTCAAAATCTATCAAAATGTAGTGCCAATACAGTTCGAACCCCTGAAAATATCGAACGTGTTTGTCAAGCGATATCAAGAAGTCCTCGTCGATCCCAGGGTGTTCCGTCGACCAAGGGGGCCAATTGATTTTTAATTTTTTTTTATTGACCGCATTACAAACACCGATAGGTAATTACAGGTCATGGTAGTATACATTAGAAATTTACAACGGTACAACGACTATACAACTAACTTGTAAGTATGCAAGGCACAAACAGTCACAGACAGAGGAAGTGTGAGATAGTTTCACACGTCATATTTTTTTAGGTCCTTTTTTTTCTAACATAAAGGTATCGTAAGAACCTCTTCTGCACTATCTCGATGTGGTCTACATGTGAGTGTGCTGAAGACATCCAGATTTGTGCTGCATAATCTAGATGTGGTCTCACTAACGTATGATAGAGCCTGATTATTGTTTCAATTTTGAAAGATTTACTATTTCTCATGATAAAACCCGAAGATTTAAATGCCTTATTGACTATATTGTTATAATGCGAACTGACCTTCATATAAGTTTGTTTTCCGTGTGAAGGTCATAACGGAACACTTTTTTATGTTAATTGACATTTTGTTAGCCTTAAACCAACTATTGACATTGTTTATACCTGTCTGTAACGAAATACAATCCTGTAGGGTGGATATTGTTTTGAAGAATTTAAAATCATCAGCGAAGAGCAATCCGATCGATTCAGAAAAGAGGTTGATGAATAAAGTGAATAATAGTGGACCTAGGGTACTACCTTGCGGCACTCGTGAGGTAGCTATATATTCATTTGAGGTATTTCTGGCTACTTTTACTAGGAATTCCCAGTTCAACAGATATGATTCAAGAAACAGAAATGTAGAGTGTGATATTCCCATAGCAATGAGTCGATCTAAGAGCAGCCCATGATCAACCTTGTCAAAGGCTTTTTCACAGTCTGTTTACATCACATCTAGTTGTTTTTTTTCATTTATTTCTTCCAATGTATGTTCAGATGATACACAAAAATTTGAGACGGTCGATTTACCAGTTACAAAACCATGTTGAAATAGAGAAATGCTTGGTCTTAGTACACTTGTTAAATTATTACATATAATTTGTTCAAACATTTTCGCTATTATGTTAATCAAGTTGATTGCTCGGTAATTGTTAATTTCATTTACGTTGCCATTTCTTTAATTTGTATATTTTAATATTTTATTTATACTTTATATATTATGATATACCTGTTTAGAGAAACGAAACGACCTGGGATCGGCGAGGACTTCTTGATATGGCTTGACGAACAGGGTCGATTGTTTCAGGGGTTCGAACTGTATTGGCATTACATCAATGATTCTTTGTGAATAAATGATAAGTCAATAGCTATGCCACATCACATTCAATTGTAAAATTTCAAAATTAATTATTTTATTTCATAAATTGATCATTTCGGCCCAAACTTAACCTCGACATCGTCTTTTGATTTTGAATTAGATTTTACAATACATTTATCGTCAAACTCCTTATAATTATAATTATCTGTTGAGCAATCCAGTTTTATACATCAGCAAACACGTTTCAACTGATAAACAATTGAACTGCTGTTACTGAATATCATATATCCACTCCTCGTATATGAAGCATAGCTCTCCACAAAGCAGGACCAACTTCAGTCTCTATAGGTAACGAAATCGACCAATAGGCGTTGATGGCGACGTAGGGAAAAAATAATTCGAAACTTGTCAAACCAATATGGCTGTTTCCATCCTTCACTTTCCGTTGATTATCGATTCAAAAAGTTTCATTTTGGTCCGATTTTTGTTGAGATATCGTATAGGCGATGCGCTATACAGGGTGTTTCATTATTAATTGGAAATATTTCAACCATAGAATCCCTAACTCAAAATATGAAGATTTAACCCAAATCACCTAGATAAAATATGTCTGCTGTCTGAGTTACAAGGTGTTTTATTCAAAAATTTTGAAATGTTTTTTGCCCAGTTCTTCAAAACTATTTGACGTATTACTTTCATATTTGGAGGGAAGTCTAGGTATTATACATCCAACTGAATTATGTGAAATGAACTTTTCTAGCTATTACCAGAGGCGTACGACAGGGGCAAGTGACTGGTTGATTCTTCCCAAATTCTACGCCACTGGCGGAATTGCAATTTTATCAGAATTTTTCGATTCTTCAATACCTTCTCCGTAAATATTGTACTCTTTCTTCATAGCGATAAAGTCATTATTTTTCGAGATATTTCAAGTTAAACATGAAGCAGCACAGTTATTTTGATTTCAATGTGTATCAATAATGTCGAAATTTTGGATCAATGGACTGCATTCATCAATCAAATGAAACTTCAATCCATATTAACATAAAAACAGACAGGAGCTGTTACAGGGCGTTTTAAATTGTTTAATATATTACATAATTAAACACCGTGTAACAGCTCCTGTCTGTTATGTAATTATGTTTGTATTCTTAATATGGATTGAAGTTCCATTTTATTAATGAATACAATCCATTGATCCAAAATATTGACAAAAAATGCACATTGAAATCAAAATGATTGTGCAGATTTATGTTTAACTTGAAATATCTCGAAAAATAATGACTTTATCGCCATGGAGAAAGAGTACAATATCTACGTCAAAATTGTTGGAGAATCGAAAATTTGTGGAAGAGTTGCAATTCCGCCAGTGACGTAGAATTTGGGAGGGATCAACCAGTTAATTGTCCCTGTCGTACGCCTCTGGTAATAGGTAGAAAAGTTCATTTCACATAATTCAGTTGGATGTATAATACCTACACTTTCCTCCAAATATGAAAGTGATACGTCAAATAGTTTTGAAGAACTGGACAAAAAACATTTCAAAATTTTTGAATAAAACACCCTGTAACTCAGACAGGAGACATATTTTATCTAGGTGAATTGGGTTTAATCTTCATATTTTGAGTTCGGGATTCTATGGTTGAAATATTTCCAATTAGTAATGAAACACCCTGTTCATATAGAAATAGTAAATACCGATATGCTGAATATGCATGCGGGTAGTGACAGGCCGGTGACTTTCACCCCCCATCAAGCAAGCGCCAACCCAAATCTTTCAGTTCCACTGCCGGACACTGTACAGGGTGGGCCAAATTGGTCACTTTTGAAAGGAAAGTCCTATTTTTCCAAAAAGGTAGAAGAAAACTGATGTCGGTGCCTGAGGGTCGATTCTCTTGCAAACCTCAATGGTGAAAACCGCATATCGATATATGTTTTCGTTTCGGAGTTACAAGGTGTTCTCATGAAAATAACTGCAAAGCATCGAGTTTGTGATAACAATTATTCCTGAGGCACTGAAATCGGCCTTCCAGTATCTTGTTCAAGAATATAACTTGTTCTTCTTGAAGGAAAAGTTCTATTTTGAAACAAGGTATGTGGTGACTGATTTCAGTGCCTGAGGAATAATTTTCATGACAAACACAATGCTTTGGAAATGTTTTTTTTATGGAAACGAAGAATTTTTGACAAAAAATTAGTTTCAGTCACTTTTCGAAAATTCATTTTTACTAAAAACACCTAGTAACTTTGAAACGAAGATAGATATCGATATGCAGTTTTCACCATTGAGTTTGTTATGTGAATTGATCAACAGGCACCAACATCAGTTTTTTCCTATCTAGAACGGGAATAGGACTTACCCTTTACAAGTATAAAATTTGGCCCACCCTGTACAAGGTACAAGGCGTTTTTTATTGGAAAGTTTTCGTACAAAAAATCATGAAATATTAACAGGGTGTAAAGTACGTTGACATATTCAAGTGACGTATTCCTGAGATAATTTTTAGAAAAAAAAAATTATATGAACTTGGCTCCGAAAATGCTTCATTTTGCAGATACAGGGTGTTGAAATACAGAAAACAACTCGGAAAACAAATCATTTTTCGATAAACATTTCATAGTTTATTTTGACGAGACTTACCACATACACATACTTAGTTTTTATGATGTTCTCAGTAACAAAGCGCCCTAGGAGCTAAGCTAAGTAATATGCATCGATATAGAAAATTGTAAATATCTCGAAAAAATATTTCCATATTTCCTCATTTTATCACATTCAAATATGTCGTTGGGCTCACATTTCGTTTCGCCCAAATTTCGATTCGCCTAATTTTCAATTCACCCAATTTTTGATTCGCCCATTTTTTGATTCAACCAAATTTTGATTCACCCAAATTTCAATTCCCCCAATTGTCGAATTGTCCAAGTTTCGATTCGCCCAATTTTCGTTTCACCAAATTTTCGATTCACCCAATTTTCGAAAATTGTAAAATGAATATACATTCTAGGATGAGGGTCCATTTGAACGAGTTAAGTTAGATTATTTAAAGAGAGTGGTCTCCTCTGTTCTTTCAAGTAATTTTCCGATAAATATACTTTTTGGGAAGGTCCATTTAGGCCAAGTAAGGTTGGATTGTTCAGAAAATGTGGTCTCTTTTGTTATCTCAAGTAAATTTCCGAAAAATATACTTTCTAGGAGGAGGGTTCATTTAGGGCGAGTAAGGTTAGATAGTTCAGAAAAAGTAGTCTCCTTCTTTATGGAAAAAAGAATATTTTCCTTCCTTATATCTTATATTACATTATTTGAGTCAGATTTGGCAACAATGCATCGTTCGGGTATATTCTGATGGTGGGCGAATCGAACATTGGGTGAATAGAAAATTGGGCGATCGAAATTTGGGTTAATCCAAAATTGGGCCGAACGCAACGTACCCGAAAATAAATACAGGGTGGTGCAGCTCGAAGTGGGACACCGTATCGTGGTAATAGAGATTGATTTCCTGTAAACTTCAGACGCGAGAGGAAATGAACAACTTTACTCCCTTAGAAATGGACCACTTATTCTAAATTTTGTATGTTTCCTAAGTTTAAACCAACGAGCATAGGTTATGGAGAGAAAATAACAATATGGAAAGTGAGTAATTATTTACTATTACAATTCTTACAGGTGAACTGTTATTTGAGACATTTGAGAGTGATTTAGAAATGACTTGTGCATTTCAAATCCAGGTTCATTTTTTGTCATTCCAGTAATAATGTATGTATGTATGTAACAGTTGTGAATTATTAGGTGATTAATAATAATATACACACTTTATACACAATATACACAATGTACAAAATCGATGATAAACTGAAAAAATTGGTAGATATTTGAAAATTTCGTGAAATCTGATCATTATTCATCTATATATTTCGTGTTGCAATATACTTAAAATGTACCTATTACTTATTGCTACCTACCTAATTGTTTTGAAAAAATGTTGAATCTTCATATTATATCATGAAATGGCAGTTTGTTGTAATGAATAATTGATTTGATGTATAATATAATACAATAAAGTTAATTTTTATTATTCTGTTAATACTCACGTTTCAATTTCAATACCTTATTATTTATGTGACGTAAGTCAAGATTTCCTAATTTTCAATTTTTCATTTGGACTTCAAGGAACATTTGGCTACATATAGGAATCAGGCCGTAAATTTCATGAATGGTGGAAAAAGGCCACACTTTGCAACCCCGCATCAACTTTTTGACCAAAAATTATCAGTCAATCGTATTCGGTAGCAATTCAATGATCAAGTGAAATCATGAGGTATTTTATTCTAAAAAGTCCATGAATAGTGGAAAAAGGTAGCAGAAACTTGGCAACGCCGCATCGGACTTTCTGACCGAAAATTATCAGTCAATCGTATTGGGTAGTGATTCAGATATGTCACTCCCTCGCCGTTGATGCGACAATTATATCTCATTAGTGTCAATCGAAGCATTCCCAAGAACATATAACCTCCAAAGGTTCAAAATAAAACTCCAACACCTACCTACCTCCTCTCAACTACGAAATAGCCACAATGCTCAAAGTGCTTGGCTAGGCTACGCTTAGTCGGCGGTCTCAGGACCGCTGGCTGGAGACTGCCCTGCACTGATGAGAGTTAAAGGGCTCGAAACCGGTCTGTAGGTGTCTAGCATGGCCTGGCTAAATCGAAATCAATAGGCATTCAGGAAAGAATCACTTGTATCAGTATCCGTTTATACGAGTCGATGCATATATTTCGGGAGGATGTAATTCAATGTCCTGCGTGGCATTAGACAGGAAAGTAGTTTTTTTTCTCCCGAAATCTATCATTGTTGTTCATTTTATATACATTGTGTGGAAATTACTTTTAGCTTTTTGTATTTACCTACCTCCTCTCCCTGTCCTCGTACACACGAAGTTCTTCGAATATTACAATATATAAAAAAATAGCCCAATATTTGATTAGTAATCATCTACGATCTATGAAAATACTGTTTCTGCTCAAAACGTCACATCGGTCGATTATTTTCAATAATCTTCAGAAATGGACGAGAAATAATACCAATAACTGCAGAAGTTGTTAGAAACAAAATAAATTTATTAAAAAAAGTAAATCTTGTACTTAGTTATTAAATCTACAAAATATGCCTAAACTTGAATTGACAAGTGATGCTATTTCCTTAATGTTATATAATAAATAAAAGTTACTTGATTCATAATTTGTTCTTAGCCTGCTAAAGTTTTAACACTTATAATATCTTCAATATAATAACTATACAGGGTGTCCTTAAAGGTCTTGTCGTAAATCATAGATAGAATGAGCCGAAACAATGTTAGTACCTACTTCATATAAAAAAGTCTACCGTGCTTCGTTTCGGAGTTATTGACCTTGAAAGTTAGAATTGAAAATTAGAAAAAAAAATGCATGTATAACTTTCAAACCGTTGCCATGGTATCAATGATATTCGGGATGGTAAATAAGCTCATACTAATGCTCTTTTCCACTTCATTTTAATATAAGAACTACTAACATTATTTTGGCTCACTCTATCATTCACGACATGAACTTTCTGGACACCCTGTATAATGTCTAATCAACAGGAGATAATAACAGTCGAAATATCTATCACACATCTTGTAAATGCCTTGAAACGGCTAATGATTTAAAAGGTTCAGACCACATTCTCCGTAAATCTCCCTGAAAAAAAAAAAAAATTGTTTATTAGTCTACAATTTGAAAAAGTGTCTAAAAAATTTTAGAGCAATACAAGTAACTGGCCGATGAGCCCCGCCCCGCATTTGCTTAACCTTCGTAACACTACGGGGTCATTTTGTACCCCAAATTGGTATTTTTTCGTGGTTTATGGTGACTATTCCACTCTTGGTCTCGAGAACCAATCAGAATCGACCATTTTCACGGTTTCTTCTGTATTCTAGCAATATTTTTTGTTTATTAAATTTCATCGGACTTGCTCTACCAATACAGAAGCCGAATTGACCCATATGTGACCAACAAACCTCGTTTATCAGCGATAAAATTTTGACATCGTGCCTGGTCAAGATTGCTTTGGATTCAAATCTGAGACAATAACCTAAGTACCTACTTTATTTTATTTACTGATAATTCGCGTTAGTGAGACATTTTGTAGGAAAGGCGAGACAGTTTTATTCTGGCTGGACGTTTCATGACTGTGTAATTTAAAAAGTTTGCATATTTGTTGACGGTCTGACACAACAATACTAGAATTCAAATTCCTTTTTAAAGTAATCTTCTTCGATCACTCAAGTTATTGTGACTAATAGATTACCAGATGATAGCTCAACTGTTAGGGTTGTTGCGCGAAGATACGAAGGTCGATGGTTCGAGCCCCTCGGCAACGAAATCTTTTTTTTTTAATTTCATGTCACATGAATTCAATTTATTGTTTGAATTGGATAGCAATTGTATGCACTCTTTTGAGAGCAACCATCTCCAAGATAATAAAAAAATACTGTTTATCAAAATTGTACATTCCACTTTGTGAATAACTATAAGTAGGTAGTTAATTTCTAGAAAATCGAATTCTGTATTTCATTACTATCATTATGTTCTTCTTCGCAGTTTGAGTTGGAATATTCTTTAATTATGTTTCCTATTTCTTATATATATTGTCTCATTCAATCATGAAATAGTCATACGAATACAACTCGTGATACTATTTTTCCTGGAAATATTCGTCGATTGACATACTTCAGCTTGCTGCTCTAATTTCGCTCATGACATTGATCCAAAACTACTCGCCAACGGCTCGTGCTTTTGATAACAATATCATTCACGAAATTACTATGCAACAAGCTGTCGTAACAATCACCGAATATTTGGCAAAATATTATCACTTGTGGTATTACATATGATAATTATTTTTGTTGCTTACCAATATCCGACAATCCTCTCAAACATGCTGTTTCTATGTATTTTCTAATGAAAAAAAAACATGTCATTCAGTATTTTCAGACGTTCAAGGCAACAAAAATACATCAGTTAGTGATGTACGTACTCGGCGGAAATCTGTAACAGACAAGTTGATTCCTGTCTTTTTTCGCGTTCAGATTTGTAGGATCTCTTTCACCCACATTGATTTCGACTCTGATAGTGTGAATACCAATCTGCTTGGTTATTTGTGTGTTCGCGTGACCATATGGTTACGGTCGTTCCTGAGTTTAGTAGTTGTCAAGTAGTTCCAGCAGGTGAAAGGACATCTGGACGTTGTACTCTTTTTCCTCGGAAAAATGATCGGAAAACCCGTAACAAATTGGAAATTTGCGGACTGTTCGTTTGTGTTAAACACAGCCAGAAGAAAATAATATGTAACACATGTACAATCGATATCTGGAAATATTTATTTTATAAGTCGATTTTTATATTTTGTATTAGTTTTGTTCTGCATACATCCCAAGGAATTCCTGGAATTCCCAAAGAATACCCGGACTTCCCGAGGAATTCCCGTCTCGGGTACACTGGACTTCCCACGTTGAAACTTCTAGATTTGAGAACGCCTTGTTGGAATTTAAAAAACTTCGCACTGCTAGTGTCTGCATTAAATTACCTTTGCAATGATGTATTACACGACCCTTATTACCTATACCTATTATTGAGGGGATTGCTCTGGGGAGTAGAGGGTTGAAGTATGTAAAATTTATTTTGAGTAAAACAGTGCCCCCTCGAATTGAAAATCGACGTGTTTCGTTATTTTTTTGGAAAATCATTTTCCTGAGAGTTATGGAGGGTGAATAGTCTCGAATGGACCACCCGGTATATGTATTAATTTGTTTCATGTTCATAATATATCCGAGAATGTTCCTTTGCAATAATTATGTTTCTCCTACCGGTTCAAAGATCCTCAGCTATGCAAACTTATCTTGGTCACACTGTGTGTGTACCAAGTACACTCGGTACAAACAATTATTTATTCATTTATCAAACAGATAACTTTCAGACAGAATAGGATCTGGTATGAGGAAGTACACTCGTCTACAACGGTATGACGCTTGTACTGCAGCAGTAATTAACAGAGCTGACACCGTCCATGTGCGACATGTTCTCTGAAGACGACTGTACATAATTATTAATTATATACCTATTCGCGATAGATAATAAGCATACGCCACCTATCAGAGTTCTTGAAAGCTGTCAAAGCGGCATGTTCACTATGTTTTCATTGGTTCACATTCGTTTTTCTGTGCTTATTGGTCATATCATCGAAACAAACCACTCAGAAGTTTTAAAGTTGTTGCCGTCATTATTCAAAATATATCAACAATTATAAATTGGGCGAACAAAGAACAATATTTCTAAAAAAATATAGCAGAATAACATGAGTAGTTTTATCCAATTCGTTCAGAAATGACCAGTTTTTTCACATTATTTTTGAATATTTCTGCAGTTTTTGATATTGGCAGGTAGTTCATTGAACTCAGTTAAGGCTGCATGAGTGTATATTTTTCATTGTCCCATTTTGGAGCTAGCAGCATCAAGGTAAAACAATTTATATTGTCTAGTTTTATCATTATGAACAGAAATCAGAATCAAACTAACATTCGACTTCAATTCTTTATTTATGATATACGAAATTTTTAAGGGTTTCTATCTCCTTTATATATGAAAATGAATGTTTGTCTGTATGCCCTTTATAGAATCGTAAACGGCTTGAACGATTTCACTAAATCATTTTGTTGTGTTTGTTATTGTCAGGAGAAGGTTCCTATGAGAAAAAAAAAAAGAAATACAAGATGGCGAATCCAATATGGCGGACGAGTTTTGTAATTATAATCCGATTCCATTCAAAATTGGTATCCGGTGGTTTTTGCGGTCGAAGATTATGGTTTTTTTGTCAAAATTGGAAAATTCAAGATGGCGGATCCAATATGTTGTACAAGCTATGTAATAAATAGTGTTTTGAAAAACTGATGAAACACGCTTTCATGGATAGCAAAACTAAAAAGACGTAGAAAATAAAATAAATAGTAGTTTAGAAAACTTAAGAGATAGATTACCCAACTGAAAAGAAGTAGAAAATGAATTGTAGTTTGAGAAACTAAGAAAACATGCTTTTATGGTTAGTCAAACTAAACAGAAGTAGAAAATAAAATGATAAAGAAATAATGTACATAGCAAAACAACGTTTGCCGGGAAGCTATAATAAATAAAATGACTCAGAATAAATTCAATATTTGTGAACTGTCTTTCCTTCAGATTTATTTCAGTAAGCGGCATAGCAACGAGCGCAGGGTAGTGCTAGTTCTATACAGGGTGTCGGGAGGAACGCACCAAACTCCAGGTGTGTATGGTGCACGTAAAAATAATTTTAAAAACCATATGTTCTTATACGACTCTCATTTGTTTCCATTTCAAATTTGAATAGATTTGTGGCATTTTATAAGACTTTAATCATACAAAACTGTTTGTGTGATCTGTTTTGTTGTTTTAATAGTAGATTGTTTTATTAGGATCAAAAGTGACACTTTGTTCGACAAGCGAATTTTGCATTTGCGAGGCGGAGCGTTTAGCGAAGCCGAGCGAAAGCAAAATTTGCGAGTCGAACAAAGACACTTTTGATCCGAATGAAACATGCTATTTTTTCTGCAACCGAAACAATTAACTCAAATAAACATGTGAAGTAACCACCAATGCCGTACCATATGTATGCAATGCAACAAATATTGACAAATAATCCATGTGGTGAGAATATTCTACCTGCACTAACAGTAGGTTAGGTTTTCTAGGATGTTCGAATTGTAGTTTCAATATAAATACAACCACAGAGTGACATATTTGTGTATGGACCAGGAGGTGCTCTAATGGCAAATACCGCGCCAGTGCCAGCTATTAGGAACAAGACGTGGAAAATGTTAGGTTAGTGCGAGCATATCAACAATGATAATAGTGATTATTTATTCCTCTCCATACTACACTGTGTTTGATTTCATAATCAAATGAAGCTAAACAATATCGTTGTTTGAGACAAAAAAACTATTGCTTGCCGTGATTATTCAAGAACAAGTTATCCATCCCGAGAATAACGAATGAAATACAGATCAAGCAAGTATTTGAATCTTGAAGGCTTCCCTGATCAACACAAAAATACTCAACTGAGATGTTTATAATTCCAATACTAAACTATAATAAGGTGTATTTATATCTCCAGCATGGGTATGAAATGCCAAATCTGCTGAAATCGGAAACAAATCAGGTATGCGTCTCAACCCAAATAACCAACTGTCACAATGTTGTTTATTCTTGATGACGTCCAGTAGATCCTTTTTAGTTCCTAGGAGCTAAAGTTCAACTTTAGCTCCTAGGAACTAAAATTCAACTTCAGCTCCTAGGAACCAAATATGTTGCCTAGCAACATATCTATTTTTGTGTCAGTAGTAGAAACGTCAATTTAAGAGCTAATTTTGGTATCAAAATGGACGACTTTTGTGTCGGTTGCAGAAAAAATTATTTATACCTGTACAATACACACCTAGAGTTTGGTGCGTTCCTCCCGACTCACCCAGTACATGAGAATATGAACTGGAAACATCATATTCAACACCTCAATAAGAAATTAAGCAGCAGTTGTTTTGCTTTGAGAACCTTGAAAGCGAATGGTCTATTCATCGAAACCCTAAAAATGGTTTAATTTGCGAATTTTTACTCTCATATGTCCTATGGAATTCTTTTCTGGGCTAAATCAATGATGTGGAAATAGTGTTTGTGCTACAGAAAAGGGCAATTAGAATAATATTAGGACTTTCTCGAAGTACTTCGTGTCGTCAATATTTCATTCAAATGAGAATTTTAACATTACCTTCACTCTACATTCTTGAAGCTTTATGTTTTTGTCACAAAAATCGAAATCTGTTCAATTTTAGTTCTTCCTCCACTCGACAATGCTACAAAATGATCTTACTTCCTCATCATAACACATCGTTTTTTTAGAACAGCGATAATTACAGTAGTGCGAAACTATTCAATAAACTGCCTACCGATTATAAGTTTATGCCATTCAATAAATTCAAAAGTTCAGAGAAAAATCTTCTAATAGATGAAGTATACTACTCAGTACTTGATTTTCTCAATGATAATAATATGTGATATGTGTATACCGAAAGCGTTATGAAAAGCACTTGTATAGTTCCATTGTTTCAGATATAGGTACTCTCAACTTTTTATTTATTTTTATGTAAATGTGTAGTATGGTATACACCAACCAATTTTAATTGCTACGAAATGGATGTATTGTTTCAGGTACACTAAGAACTTGTTTTTTTTTGTATTCTTACATATTTTTTTGTAAAATGTTCAGATATAATGATCATTCTAGCACAACTATCATTTTAGGACAACTACTGTGCACTTTCCTACAAAACTTGTTTTTTCTGGAAATAAATATCCTATCTTATCTTATATTATGACTGAATTGTTTACTCACCTTGAGGTATGCCATGGTTAGCAAAGGCAACAGAGTAAACGGAACTAAATATAAGAGAGCCGGTTGGGCAGCTTTGAACAGCTCACTGGTCACCGTGGCGGTCAAAAGACCCAAAAAGTATCCAAAGAGAGAGCAATGGAAATATGTCAGTCGAGAGCCACTGAGGCCCTGGGATTTGCGATAAGCATCATAACGGAGTACAAAGCACAGCAGCAGACCTGGCATCACAATATCACCCAAACCTAAAAAAAAAAAATAGGTGTTACACAGGGTGTTTCTAAAATTGGAAGGAAACTTATAGTAGGGAAGCCCAAGCGGGGATTTCGGGATTTACTCGAGCGCGGCAGATTGACATAAGGGGGGTGTCCTTGGACCTTGTGAGGTACTCCCAGCATACCTGGGCCCTTTATACAGGGTGTCCGCTAAAAGGAGGTCAATCCATTAACCATATATTCCTTGAACAAGAACAATACGAGTTTCTAGATACCATTTTTCATTTTAGCCCTTCATATTCGATATACAGGGTGCCAAAGTTGGAAATCGAAAACGGTTTTTTTTCATTACTCGCGTATTCGATAAGATACACACTCCCCCATATTTTTTTTGTACGTGCGCTAATGACTTCAAATCTATTTTTGATCAAGTGTTCAATCATTTTTGAGTATTTTTTGTCTCTTGTCAAATTTCGATGTATTGTATTGTCACCGGATTTACGAACATTCCGGTGACAATACATTATGGAATTTTTGTTGAAATAAAAAAAAATGGCTGCTCCAAGATGGCGGACGAGATTTGGTCCGATTCCATTCAAAATTGGTAAGTGGGGGTTTTTGAGGTCGGAGATCATGATTTTTTTGTTAAAATTTATAAATTCAAGATGGCGGCTTCAAAATATTTTTTTGTTTTTGTATAAATGACGATAACTCCGTTGTTATTAACACAAAACTATTACTGCAACATATCATCTGTGAGAGAAGAAGAAGTTATTTGTAACTAAGTCATAGTGAGCTATGACCTACATTTGAAGAACTAAAGTTGGTGCTGATATCTCAAATTCTAGAAGAGTTGGTATAAATTTCATATTTTTCTCGAAATCACTTTAACAAACTGCCATGAGAATGTGAAATTAGTATTTGAATATTTTCATAAATGAAGAAGTTACGGAGGAGACATAAAAATGATCAAAATCTGGTTTTTGCGTATAAAACAAAAACGAATAGATTTCATCACAATATTTTTCACATTATAGTTGGCCTTGAAAAACTCCACATTTGGTGTCATTTAAACGACCTCGTATCTCTCACCGTTAAAAAGATACCCATGGTGAGCATGGAAAGTGGGACACACTGTATGTAATTCTGGTAACGTAGGAAACTGAATTCAGTGCAGTAAGTATCATGTTAGGGTTGGCAGTAGTATCGACATAATCGTAAAAAATGTGTAAAGAAAATTGTTTTTCAACACCTTGTATTATGAAAACGGACGCCGTTACGAAATTTTTTTACTGAACAAACCGAACTTATTTTGCAGTGTACTAACTACCCTGGCAAGGGAGTCAGTTTTTTAAACACCCTGTATAGATCCTAACGCCCATCGGGCAACTTTCATCCCTCCTGCCTGGCGTTAGGATCTAGTAACGCTCGTGCATACAAGATTTTATTTTCCATGAAAATAGTTATTTGTTTAACTAGGCAGCAAAGTAGTAGATTGACTGCCGAGGCTGAATTCATAACCGAGCGTAGCGAGGCTAGGAATCCAGCTAAGACAGTCAATCTACTTTGCTGCCGAGTTGAACATGTAATTTTTTCTCCGATTGTTCATAATGTTATATATATCTCTTTATTTTTCCTGTAGTGTTCAATTAAAATAAAATTTGATAGAAATCGCAGTTGTTGGAATGGTTGGTTGCTATGGAAATGTCCATAATAATTATAGTTTGACAATTCATGAAATTTCTGACAGTTGTGCGAAAAAATATCGGTATTTTTAAATTATTATATAATGGACAGTGATAGCGACCTGGAAGTACTTACTCCTCCAGAAATGAGGGAGGTGGCAAAAAATATAGAGTTGAATTTGTTGCCGGAGAGGTCTCGGATGAAATATGAAGGAAATTATAAACGATTTATGGATTAGAATAATCTACTGGGCATCAATCTCACGAGGAAAGATATTAACAATATCACCTGTATTGGTAAAGGAGAAAATCCTCCAATTCTAGTAGAATTTGTGTCATTTCTCGATAAAAAACTAGTCTTCGAAAATACCACAAAATTGAAATCTACAAAAATATCAATTGCGAGAACAACAAAATACTAAGGCGACATCTGAAAGCAGCTAAGGAAAAAAATCAAGGTGCAAAAATAATTGGAAACAAATTATATCTGAATGAGAATATATTTTACACTGTCGAGGAATTGAAGCAGAGAGAACAAAAAAATAGCATCAGCGAAGATAGCGAGACGAGTGAAGAAGAAATTTTCCAAGATCTGTCTACCATAAACCTACCAGCGGTCGGTGAAAAACAGATTGGACATAAGAGAAAGAAAGGGAAATTGGACTCCGCTCCAGCGAAACAATACCAAACGAGGAGTCAATCAGTGTCTGATAAGTAACTGGTATTTATAATATACTATATTTATACATAGATATAGGTACATGCTTATTCACTATATACACACTTTATTATTATATTTCTCGTAAATTCTTCTGTGCACTTATTTAGTAGGATTATGGTGCTGAGGGAATTTTCTTTAGCATACCAAAATGTAAGGGGACTGAGAACCAAAACAAATGATGTCTTCAATAATATTGTTTCGGACAACATCGATATAATCTGCTTCACTGAGACATGGTTAACCCCTGATATTTGCAGTGGGGAATTGATTGATGACAGATACGATGTTTTCAGAAAAGACCGTAACACCGAGGATTCCAGTAGAAAAAGGGGTGGGGGAACATTGGTAGCAATAAAAAAAAAATTTAAAGCTAAAGAAGTCTTGATCGTTACTCACATAGATATTGACAGTATTATAGTACAATTCAAAGTTCAAAAGCAAAATTACACACTGATAAATTGCTATATCAAATCTGGGGCAAAACGTGATGTCTATCAAAATTTTCTCGATCAGCTGGAACAATTAGAAATATTTAACCATAAAATCATAATCGTAGGAGACTTCAATCTCCCCATCACCGACACTCGGTATGACTTATATCAAGGTAATGAAGGCACAAAACGGTTAGCCGATTTCATCCAACTATATGGGTTACGCATGAAAAATGATATAAAAAATCAGGATGGTAAAACCCTAGACATTGTCATTACAAACGTTGATCTAGAAGTTCATCAGGAAACCCAGCCTCTATCAAAAGTTGATTCTAAATATCATCCTCCCCTCTCTATAAAGTTGACTGAAGAGCTATATGAAAATGAACCTCCTCCTTTTAATCTCACGGGACAATACAATTTTCATAAAGCTGATTTCAGTAAACTTTATAAAAAAATTAGAGAAATTAAATGGGATAATATGAGAAATTTAAGCGATGTGAATGAAGGAGTAGCGTTCTTTTATGGGAAAATATATGAAACACTTGATATATGCGTCCCCAAATTCAGGCAGATGTGGCGCAGGCCAGCAAAGTTTCCTCCCTGGTTCACACCCGAATTGAAGACTAAAATCAAACACAAAAAAATCTTACATAAAAGGAAAAATGATTCTGAATATTATATGAATAAGTTCCAAGAACTGAGAAAAGAGATTAAAAGAGAAACTGAACTGGCTCAATCCAATTATGTCAAAGATTTCGAAAAAAGTATACAGCAAAATACTAATAATTTTTGGAATTACATAAAGAGTAGGAGAAAAATAAAAACAAAAGATATTATCATCGAAAATAATGGTACCACATACAAAAGCAATGAAGATATAGCCCATGGATTCTCTCGCTTTTTTCAGTCTGTGTTTGGCGAGTCTTCAACTTATGAAATAAACGGTTCAACTGAGATGAACGGCCATAACACCATATTCCCTCAAATATATTTTGATATAGACCAAATTTCTCTCAAAGATATATCTGACTCAATCAGAAAACTGAAACCAAAAAAATGTGCTGGTCCCGATATGATTCCGCCGTACATAGTGAAAGGATGTTCTGAGATTCTTCTGAATCCTCTTCATATTTTGTTCAATTTATCAGTAAAAACAAATACATTTTCAGATCTGTGGAAACAATCGATAGTATCTCCCATTCACAAAGGGGGAGACACCAGTAATTTCTCTAATTATAGACCCATATCAGTTTTGTCTTCGTTTGCTAAAATATTTGAACAAATTTTGCACAAAAAAATATTTGAACACATGAGGGGTATCGTTTGTGAAAATCAACACGGTTTTATTCCAAAAAAATCGATACTAACAAATTTGATGATCTTCACAGACGATATTTCTCAAGCACTTGATGTAGGTGGCCAGGTCGACGTTGTGTACACAGACTTTGCCAAGGCATTTGACAGGGTGAACCATGATATTCTGATTGAAAAACTTAACACATTAAGTTTCTCTCATACATCTCTAAAGTTCTTAACTTCATACCTAGCTGAACGCAAACAAATAGTCAAATATCACGGTGCACTGTCTGAACCCTACTCGGCGCTTTCAGGAATTCCGCAGGGAAGTAATTTGGGACCACTTTTCTTTGTAATCTTTGTGAATGATTTACCTGCGGTACTACATGAATCCACAGCATTACTTTATGCTGATGACTTGAAATTTTATAAAAATATATCATCGCAAGTAGATATTGACAAACTTCAGCTAGACATCGATCGTATTTATGAATGGAGTATTTCGAATAAGCTGTTCTTGAATATTTCTAAATGCTTCACAATGACTTACACGAATAAAATGGTACCAATAACAAATCGGTATACAATGAATCATACTGAACTGCCACAGAAAGATTCACATTCCGATCTTGGAGTAATTTTTAATTCTACCCTAAATTTTGGAGAGCATATCGACCGAATGGTGAAATCAGCTTATAAAACACTGGGTTTCCTGATGAGAGTAAGTACCGAATTCACACATCATACGAGGAAAATTCTTTTTTGCAGTCTTATTAGATCGAAATTGGAGTTCGCCTCATTAGTTTGGGACCCTGGGACGCTTGTACATTCCTCCAGGATTGAAACAATTCAGAACAAATTCATATGCTTCCTCTATAGGAAAAAGTATAACCAGTACCCGGATTATGATTCCTATAACTTTATAAGGCAGGAATTTAATATTATGCGTCTTGATACTAGGAGAAAAATCTATAATGCACTCTTTTTAGTGAGGTTACTCAACGAGCACGTCAAGTCTGACATTTTATTATCAAGAATAAACTTTTATATTCCAACCAGACTCCGTCCCCGAAACATAGTTTTCAGAACTATAAGTAGGAGGGTTGCAAGAGAAAATTCCCCCCTAGTACGAATGTGTAATATCTTGAACGATATATGTGTTGCTCATAGAGAGTTGAATATATTCAATGAGCAAGAAAATGCTATTCGGAAAAACATATTTGAAATTTTTTCAAAGTAAATAATTAATTTTCAATAATTTATGAATTTTTTGCATTTTAATCACAAGAAAATGTTATCCTGGTAATTTTTTGTCCTTCGCATCGTGATTGCGGACGCTTTTATAACTTTGTATCACGTAATATTAATTATTGGTTTTCTCTTCCTCTGCTTTGCTGTCTAGGTTTCTAATTTGGAATATTCTGTAATCTGATCTCTTATATTAGTTACCTCTTTAGTTATTGCTCATTCTTTGTTTTGTTTTTTCTATGCTATACTGAATGTTGTATGAGATCGTTACATAGGCATAAGGCATTACAGATGTAATTGTAAACTTAGGACTTGTCCTGTATTACATCTCTTCATAAATAAATAAATAAATAAATAAATTATTAATTTTGCTGATACATATCAATCAGCAAAGTAACCACTTTGCTGCCTAGGCAGCAAAGTAATACTTTGCTGATTGATATGTGTCAGCAAAATTAATATTTGCTGCCAATCGGAGAAAAATTTATTTCATTTGATGCACTCGCGATTTGATAACGAGATAAGAATCATGCCATCCGATACCAATTGAATGGAAGATCTCAAAAACCGAAACCGAAAAAGCGATTTATTTGCTGCCGTTATTCTGTACATATTTCCGTCAATTGATAACGAGTTGACACAAAAAGCAAATAAGAGGGAATAATGTCCCCTTTGCGAATATCCAAACGTGCCGTGATTCAAACTGACAGTGGCAGACTGTCATTATTTCCGAGAATAAACTCATGTGGTGCTCGCCCTAAAAGTATTCATATCGACATGTTGAGCGTCTTGAGCCGCACGTGCAAACACTTCAAAAGGAACTTCAGACCCGCGCAGTGCGGAAGATGCACCAATTGACTTTGGATACACGGCTTGGCGACTCCGAGAGCTTACGGGAATCCTTTTACACTCATTTTTTTAAGAATTTCCAGTTTCAACTTTTCCAATATTTTATGAACTAAATGAATTAAACTCACTTAAACAAAACCAACGATTGCTCATGTATAACGCAATTTTGTTATTCACTATAACTAAATCTCTCGCCTGATAGAATGGCATAGGAAATTATGCAATCTTGTGCATATAGATAAAAGATGTCGCCCACCCAAATTGTATGCAAATGGTATGACATTATAAAGTGAGTTAAAATGAAGGGTTCGACCAAAGGGCATACCTTCGTGAATAATCTGATAGAAATGTCGGTGGAAGTATTCAATTCCCATCCATATTCCGCCGTTCGGGATCGACCTAGGACCTAGAGGTATGCATATCGTATAGCGCCCGGTCAATTTAGCGAGATGTGACTATTCCAATACATTGTAAAGCTTAACATTTTCAAAATAGCTTTCAAACGGACGTTGATTGAACAGGGAGAGGAGCCGGGTGGCGAGTTTACTAAATATACTGCACGCTAGCACAAACCACGCCCACCATAATACGTCATATCTCCAAACATTACCGATATACTCGGAGTCAGCACATCGCACTAGATATACTGTGCTCCAACGCAAGAATACACTTTTTATGATTTTGACACGAATTCGACTGAAGCTCTCTCGTTGTCAATCTCTTGTACGCAGTAAATTCATATACCCAAATGGTCTAATGGTTAGCGCTGTCGACTTTCAGTCTAAATGTCCATGGTTCGAATCGCTGTGAACTTGAACTTTTTTTGCAACTTATTTTTTCACCAATGTTTATTTACTTCATTCTGGTTTTCCTTTTTCATAAAATATTTGAAGTCAAATAGGTTAGTGCGTTTAGGATAAACAGTCTCATTTTATTCAATTTTGTTGAAGAACTCAACTTTTGAAATATATTATTAATCAATGTGTTTCTACACTCCATTCGGTTTTCTTTCCTCAAAAATATTGCAATCAGGGATAGGTTAGTTCGTTGAGGATAAATAGTCTCTGAGTTTTGCCTAAGTAAAGTATATGAATTTATTGCGTACAAGAGATTGACAACGAGAGAGCTCCAGTCGAATTCGTGTCAAAATCATGAAAAGTGTATTCTTGCGTTGGAGCACAGTATATTTAGTGCGATGTGCTGACTCCGAGTATATCGGTAATGTTTGGAGATATGACGTATTATGGTGGGCGTGGTTTGTGCTAGCGTGCAGTATATTTAGTAAAATCGCAACCGGGTGCCGATCCAACAAACCACTTTTTCACCGATAATTCAACTTAATATTCACGTCCCTTGAAAGGCATAATTATCTGATAATCGACACCCCACGTCATAGGCCAACGATTTCAATAGCGTATTTGAAAAGCGTCATTGACTAGTTTTAGAAAGCCTAGGTATTCCCAACACTATTACAAATATAAGTGTCACAACATTATGTCTCACCTAGCATGCTGAAATGTCCTGAATTATGAATACTCGGGAAGACAAGCTTTCCTGGTAAACTCAGTTTGGGAGCTTCCTTCGCTACTCCACCTATATTCAGTTTTCTTGCAACTACACCAACAGGATTTTCAGCTGATCTAGTAGCCACCTGAAAATATATTTGCATATTTTCATCTTTCCCTTTTTATCTTGAAACATGTACCAACTAAAATGTTCGCCACCCAGTAGACAAACAACCGCTTGATCAAATGATTTAAATATCAGATTACATAAAAATTGATAGACAACACAACGTTTTCATAGATAACTAAAAAGTATGATGCACACAATTATGAGCGTCAAACAGGAACTAAATAATTGAATGGCGAATGGCCGGGTATGGAATCATGGGCAGAGAACCGAAGGCATGCCATTGATAGATTGAATGATAATAAATTGCAATATTTTCCATGATACATGTATGTAGGTGCGATAATAAACCGACTTTCAATCATTGTAACATAGTTTTACCTGGTTTTACCACAGTTGAAATAATTGATATATCAGTTCCTGCACTCTCCTCTCTCAAAAATTCAAAACATCATTCCCCTGTCCCGTCTGCCCGGGCACACTCCTAGCAGTATGATAAATAATACTCAGAAGGGTTTTCAAACACAACATATACACACATTTATTCTTGGCGTAAATGAATATTGTATTTCATTTTTGGAATTTGAGCAGGTATTGTTATAGGCGAATCTTGCTAAGGAGTACGCCCTCTACCGTTGTCTAATATAACTAACGTATGGGCCATTGATTGCTTTGTTTACATTAGTTTGCGTGTGTTTTGTATGAGAAGTAGTTGTGTTTTAATTGTCTATAATTTTGTTCGAGAACTTCTATAAACGTTTTAAAACATGAATCATTATTGTTGTGTGCCTCATTGTCCATCTTGAGCAAAAAAATTCCGAGTATAGGTTTCATACTTTTCCAAAATCAGGACAAACCAAATTTTTGGAAAAGTGTCTGAACATAATGAGAGATTGTTTTCTACACTTCACTGAAAATTTACTCATATATATTTTCAAAAGTATGTCTATTATGAATATAATACCTACCTCTTGTGGTAATGGTAAAAAAACAAATGAATTTTAAACTGATTATATCATTACTCATTATCAGTAGAATTTTTGAACAGTGAAGAATTTTATCAATCAGGTTTCTGATGATTGCGTTGTAAAAAGTCAAGTAGAAAATAATATATACCCTATATCCCTATTCGTGAAAATATCGCATCGTTTGTGATCAATTTTTCATCAAAATGAGAAGTAAATTTATTTGTACTAAGGTATTTTGATACTGCCGATGGTACAAATAGCATAAATGAATCAATGGAGTCTTAATGAAATTGACTCCCCCAGTAAAGACGCCGCAAATCAAATGATTGCAGCTGTCAGTGGCATGCTTTTGATATAGAAATATCAAACGCCCGACGGAGACTAAACTGATATATCAATTCTTTCAACTGTGGTTTTACTCCACTGTTTAAACTGTTAGCTACAATATTTGCAGTATTCCAATTACGATTTTAATCATCCTCATTTTTATCAGGGAAATGTCAGTGTATTTTTGACTAAACTTTTTTATAGGTTTGACACTGCCCTAAAGAATTTGAATCTTAAAAAAATCTGAATGAAACCTTTGTCGATTTGGCAACCATTTTATGGAAATTCTCAAGATAATCTCTTTTCCTGAGTACTGGAACAAGTGATGGTCCAATAAATATTTGGCAAGTTGATAAAAACAGCTCATTGTTGATGATTTTCATAAATTTAATCTGTTTGATTTGAGGTGCCCAAAGAAAAAAAAAAGGAGGCCGAATGATTATGTTTACCCGAAAAAACATGAAAAATCGCGAGAAATTTGTCAATTTTCGTAGAATATTTCGAAAAAATGGTGATTGATTTTGAGGCGCCCAAAGAAAAAAAAGGAGGTAGAATGATGTTTACCAGAAAAAACACGAAAAATCACGAGAAATTTTATAAATTTTGTAGAATATTTCGAAAAATGGTGTTTGATTCACTGTCAAATTATCATATTCCTGGCCAAAATTCGTGTATGTATTGTTTCATAAGGACTTTCAAATCATTTGAACAATCTTGCAGGCGACATTTTAGCTCCACCACCTCAACTTCTTGAAAAAAAAAATGTATAATACTTATCAATTACTGTGAAATAGGTAATACTTACTTTCACCATAACGTTGGCGTTGAAAATATATGATGAGAAAAAAACCCAAAACACATCATATATGAGTAATCCAGTCAACAATAGGGTTGATACTTTCAAACTGGGCAACCTTACAAAAGCAATGAAAGCGACACACAAACCCATACCCATTGCATCCATTAATAGCCAGTGACCTTGAAAATTAAAACATGAAAACAATTAACAAATAATTGTCTATACACCATGGTAATATGGAATATCATTATTATTCAGGGACCAAGAGTGACCATGGCTGATTTATATATGCCACACATTAGAAGTTTTCCAACTTGCACAGTTCCAATTTACGGGCGTGTTTTTCATTCCATCGAAGAAAGTGCGCACTGATAGATGCGGTTTTTTGTCGTGACGTCACCAATTTTTCTGTTGGAATTTATGCTGGAAGGATTGAACAATAGTTTATACAACACATTGATGGAAACACGGATTTTGTTGTGTGTCAGTCATCATGTATCTTGAGATCAGAAGAGGCAAATTCGATTTTATTGATTAACACTGACTCTTTCTTCTAAAATCTCTCAAGAATCTCAAAAATCCTCGATATTAATTGTTTTCTATCAAATCAAAACAAAAAACAACACTAAAATGTGTCAACTGTCATGTCAATCTCCACCAAACTGCTGGATTCTCGAAAAGCGATTTAAAAGTGCGCATTTTATTACAACAGTTTGATGGATGTCCATCAACATTCCAGCGGAATTTTGCAACAGTTTGATGGTTTCTTCGATTCATGCGCATGATAAAATGTTGGAATAAAAAACGCACCCTACCTGAAATATTTTCGGTTCTTCAGCTACACAGGGTGTACCATAAGTCGTCTCCAATTTTGTTATTTCAAATAAATACCTAGATTTTTTTCACATGATTCAATTTGCCTTCCAAGTTAACCTAATTTATCTCAACTCATATATCACAGTTTTCGAACGGTTAGCTCTGAAAGTCCAAGCTAACTCCTGATGTCCGATCGATGGTCCAATTTTGTGAAAAATAGTGAAAATAAAGTGGAAGTGTGTGCCTACCAAATTATTCCTAAGAAAATGATCTGTCTCAAAAAGCCGACGAGACACCCCCTTTACATTTGAAAAAATCAAGTTTACTGGAAAAATTTGAATTTGCGGCTTTTAAATGATTCTTAACACGACTGTGGAGTCATATGCCTCAATTTCATATTTTTCCCTTGTTATTTGATAAAAAGTGAAGCGATTTACACGATCCATGACATTGTAGATAAAAAAAAATCAATATAAAAATAAAAATATTGACAAGTGAAGTATTGTTGGATTCAAAATGTTCTTCTCGATCGGAATGAGTACAAATATACAGGGTGTCTTTAAAAATCGAAAGTTGGACTCATTCCCGGTCTAACCGGAATTATGGCAAGGCAAGTGAACATGCCAAAAAAATGTAGATTGAACTATAATACACAAACCCCAAATTTAGTTTTTCCATCATCAATAATAAAAAAGTTATAGGGGTAAGCCACCTTGAAAAATCACCCGGTATAAGTTGTCTAAACTCAGAATTAGAAGGTCAATCAAAATGTGGTGTTCTATTTAGTATTGCTGACTTTTAGCGTACTCTACACAGGGTAAAAAAATTACAGTACAGAGTACTAAAATTACTTCAGGTCAATTGGAAATGATTGATAATAACAGTATACCGGTTTTCAAGTTTTCATTCCTACTGCAAGTTGGAAAACTTCTAATGTGTGACCTACGTAAAGCACCCCGTATAATTTTTGAAATATTTTTCAGAAGAAGCAACATTGACATAGTATTACCACAAATATAAAAAATATCGCTTCTCTGGTGGAACAACAATCTGAGAGCAATTTTTTTCAATTATTTACGTCAGAAGTGTTGAAAAGTAGCAAAGTTCCGGGTGAAACAATGTCAGAATTTTAGTACGAATACTTCCGGGTGAGACTTTTTGCGTGGACTCATAGAATACACATTAATTTGTTTTTTGTGAATGGTTAGTTGAAAAAACGACGTATTTGACAAATAAGTTGTTGCAAAATTAATCGTGCTTTCATCGAAAGCTAGTGGATTAGCGATGTCTGTTAAGTCATTATTGTTCCGAAATATTTGTGTTTGGCAAAGGCGATACATTATACAGGGTGTATCTGAATAACACCGATAAAATTCAATATTGTGATATTCTAGCAAATAAAGTTCATATAAACATGTGTCCTAACTTGCTCCGTTTTTGAGATACAGGATGTTGAAGTTGGAAGTATTCATTGTTTTTATTTATAACCCCCCTGTATAAGCTTTCATGGTGCCAAAATTCAGTATGGTTGGAGACTGAAAAAGTCCCAAAATTTCAAAATGATTCCAATTGGGGTTATTGAGTAATCTCAATGGAAGTTTTGAAAACACGCCTACATTAAAATTTGGAGACAAATCGTATTTTTATTGTTTCCCCAAAAATTAAGCTAGATACAAAAATTACACGAGGGATAAAAAAGTTGTTATTTCAATAGTACAATCTAATAGAAATATGAAACTCAGAAAAACTGGTGGCGTACAATGACATTCGCCATAAATATTGATAAATCTACCCATTGTGACGCTACTGGAAATATTATTTCGAATCTAATTGCACCAGGAGAAGCCTCATATTACTATTAACAAAATCACAACGCTTCATTGAAATTGATGAGAATACAACTGAGTAATGAATAAAAAAAAACGATATGATGGAAATATTAATACTCCTATCACCAGAATTGCAGAATTCAGAATCTTGATCACCCGGTATATGTCCCAATTAAATATCAGTAGATAGTTAATCAAAAGTTGAGATAGGGACATGTAAGTCGTTTTGACCAATTATGAATAGTTTCGACACAAAAAATTCTTGAACTTGGAAAATCTCGATTTTTCACACCCTATATTTCAGTAATTATAACTGCTAGACCCCAAGTATGATGGGTCGTTGAAATCAGCTCATCAGGGAAAATCTCAAAATGAAATAATATATAGGGTGTTCGATAGAAAAAAGTTTAACTTCAGTGTTTTATGGTTTTTGGGGACACCCTGTATGTTTCGAAATAATTTTAAATGGTAGCCTATGTTGACATGCAACTTCCTAGAGAGGAAGAATTCCAAGAAGATAAGTGGTTAGCCTTCTAGAGACCGAGGCGTTACTGGTGGCCCACCCTGTATATGAACATTCATTTTTCTCACCTGTCAAAACCCAAATACAGACTATGAACACAGAGAGGGAGAAAGAAAACAGTTCAGCTGCTGTGAAGCGGCCACACTTGCCGAAAGATATTTTATTGCCATCGGAACAGGGCCCCAAGATGTACTGGCACATCGGCAACAGCAGAAAGGCCAAGGCAACAGTTGCGATTACTGAAAAAAAATAATCATATACAGTGTGTCTCATTGAGCTATCACATGGCCGACTATAATTAAAATTGGGCATACTTTTATCGACAAACTAAAATCATGAGCATGTTCTAGAACACATAATTCAATGACTATATCATATACTCGGCGGTTTTTATTGGAAATGATCTATTTTCAATGCAAACCATAATTCCTAGAACCCGTACTTAGTAGTTTTTTCTTAACCCTCAACTACTAACGTTCCAAAGATATAACGTTGTCACTAACTATACGTCTCACAGACGGGACTATTTAAATGTCCATATAAATCCAAATTTTTTCATTTTATTTTTGTGAGCTATTCGAACACGTTCTCTGCATATTTGGCGAAGAGAAAATGATGTTCAAAATCGAAATAGTGGCTATCAAAATTTCATAGAGGAGTACCTAATGTTCAAAATGTTGACATTGATCTATAGAAATATGTACTAATGATGATATTATTGTCATTCTGAATACAGTTACCGTCGTAATAAAAATATAGCACAGAACTAAGTCATAAACATGCAAATTGAAAAAAAAATGACATGGCCTGTATATCTGTATAGACGTAATCATACGTATCATAGGCGAAATTGAACTTTTATTGTTACGTAATAACTAACTATACGTCTACGAGACGGCAATCTATCTTTCACCCAAGATATTTCTGAAACTGAATCACAAACATAGATCAACTTCAGGGTACTCATTCAGTGTTGGGTGGACATAAATTACGTGGTAAGCCAACAAATCGGATGCTGATATGCCGTCTCTGAGACGTATGATTAGTAGTTAAGGGTTAAGGGCCATATTTTAACCAGAGTGCATTCAAACTATACAGGGTGATCCACAGTGGATGGCCTATTAGAAGTATCTGGAGAACGAAAAGACAGAACATTCTGAAAATTGTGATTCTTCGATAATTGAACATTTTCTATCCGTCTAAAATATTTTCATCAATACAGTGTTGCCACTTCTATCAGAAACAACTAGCAACTTCGTTATTTTAAATGGAGCACCCTGTATTTTATTGCATTTTTAGATTCTTCATGAAGAGCTGATTTCATCAATGCATCACACTTGTGGTCTAGCAGGAATTATTACAGAGATATAGGGTGTTCAAAATCTAGAATTTTCAATTTTAGGATTTTTTTGTGTCGAAACTATTCATTATCGATCAAAACGGCTCACATGTCCCTATCTTAACTTTTGATTCACTATCTACTGACATTTAATTGGAACAGATACAGGGTGATCAGAATTCTGAATCTTGAAGCACCCTGTATTTGTTCCAATTAAATTCCAGTAGTTAGTGAATCAAAAGTTAAGATAGGGACATGTAAGTCGTTTCGATCGATAATGAATAGTTTCGACACAAAAAAATCCTGAAATTAAAAAATCTCGATTTTGAACACCCTATATCTCTGTAATCATTCCTGCTAGACCCCAAGTGTGATGATGAAATCAGCTCTTCAGGAAGTATCTAATAATGCAATAGAATACAGGGTGCTCCATTCAAAATAGCGAAGTTGCTAGTTGTTTCTTATAGAAGTGGCAACACTGTATCGATGAAAATATTCTAGTGGGATAGAGAATGTTCAATTATCAAAGCATCCCAATTTTCAGAATGTTCTGACTTTTCGTTCTCCAGATACTTCTAATAGACCATCCACCGTGGACCACCCTGTATACTTATGAGAAGTTTCCTTTGTTGAGATTATCATTTTTTCGTGAGGTTCAAAAAGAATTATTCGATACGGTCCGCGAATTTGGAATGAGCCATTCCAAACGTGTTGTACTGTAGACTTGGGCTGTGCAAAAATATCGATATATCGATACATATCGATATACAGGGTGATTCAGATTTCAAGGTACAAACTGAAATGGGTAATAGATCTCACCATTTTGATTAAAAAAATTTATAACACGAGTCCGATCTCGATCAGAAGCGGAGCTGCAGAGGGTAAGATTTTAATTATTTTTTCTATTAATTGAAACATCTCGCTCAATCTCGAAAATATCAATTTGAAATTTGGTGTAGTTCATACTGCCAGGAAAATCATAATTTTAAGCATTTTGACGATTTTTAAAATCTACAGGGTGATACGTTTTTGGGGTTAAAGGCATCTTTATACCCCCCAAACTTTTTTTTACTACGCCTCTGACATCTACCAGTTACCAACTAGGATGGATCGTTCAATTTGGAGGCTTTTTTGCCTCCCATTTTTTTTTCGGGAAATAAACCGTTTTCGAGATGAATAAGCATATTCGTTCTTAAACATGTTAATTTTTTTTCTATTCTTGGTCAAAAATTCGTTAACGATATTGACAATAATATATGTATTGTGGACTGATAAAGCAACATTTACCAGATGTATAGTGGAAAATTAAGATAATTCACATTTGGCTTAATCATTCATTTCCTAATTTCCCTTGTGGAACGAACATTTCTCCCGACAGGTTGAATGCTATATTTTTCAGTTTCTTTAAGATATTGAAAAAGATATTAAATACAACTAGGTGGAACTTAACCAGTGGTTTAACACGAATTTTCCGCTTCGGTCGGTTGAAAGCAACCTGACGTTCTACCCTTTTCATTCCCTCTACTGATCCAGATTGGACACATGCTTAAAAACATTGCAATTTTAGTATATTTCATGGTATTCTCAACGAATTTGGTCCAAGAATAAAATTCAAGCGAAAAATAGACAAAATCGGGCAAAATTAACATGTTTATAGAACGGATACGCTTAATTTATATCGAAAACAGTTCGTTTATAGAGAAGAATTGAAGTGACAAAAAAGCCTTCAAATTGAACGATCCACCCTATTTGATAGCTGGAAGATGTCGAAGGTGTACTATGAAAAAGTTTGGGGCGGATAAAGAAGCCTCTACCCCCAAAAATGTTTCACCCTGTAGATTTTCATAATCTTTAAAATGCTTCGAATGATGATCTTCTAGAAAGTATGAGCGAGATATTTCAATTGATAATAAAATAATTTTGAGGTCCGCTACTGATGGAAATTGGACCCATGTTTTTATATACATTTTCTTGATTAAAATAATGAGATCTATCACCCATATCAGTTTGTACCTTAAAACCTGAATAATCACACAGTATATCGATATAACGATACATAATATCGATATATCGATACCAAATCATACAAGTTTTCAATATCGCACAGCCCTATTGTAAACTGTACTTTCTCGAACGAGACTTCAGTAATACGACAATAAAGAAAATTAGAAAAACAGTTGAAGTTTGAAAGAATACAAGGTGTTCACTCAATGAAAAAAACCGACGCCAACTTCACATGAGCACAATAAGACAATTGACCATTTTTCACTTGGAAAGGAATAGACGTTTTTTTAGCTATATTTTATTAGCAACAGTTAGTTTCAGGTAGAGTACCCATTATCGGATTGTCCTTTGTCAATGTCAGTTATGAATGTTATGATATATTTGAAATTCGAATGGTCTGAGCTGGTTTTATTAATGAAACTAGGAATTAAAATTCAAGAATCAACAATCAATAACTCTCAGAGTCAACTATCAAAACTCAAAGTCATTTCCACACAATGTTCATAAAATTAACAATGCTAGATTTCGGGAGAAAAACAACTACTTTCCTGGCAAATGCCACGCAGAACATTGAACTACATCCTCCCGAAATCGTTTATACGAGTCGATGCATAGACTTCGGAAATGACTTCGAGCTTTTTGTATTTATTTAACATTTCATTCCACTTTGATTACGCCAGTCGGGCAACCAGCCAGTTTTGGACTGTTTCTTTCCTTCTTTCCTAATCAGATGGCGTTGCTTTCATATTGTCTATGAAAGACATAATCGTCAAAAATGTGAAAAAACATATTTTTTCCCAACACCTTGTATCTTGAAGACGGATGCCGTTACGAAATATTTTTACTGAGTAAACCCGAGAGTAAACCCAACTCATTTTTCAGTGTTCTACCTACCCTTGCAGGGGGGTCACCTTTTTTTGAAACACTCTGTATACAGGGTGGTCCGTTTTTTGATACGGAAAATCTAACAGCGTATAGTACTCGTTGAAATAATAAAAAAACTTCCTATGAACATATACTTTTAAACGCTTCGTTTTTGAGATATTGGATGTCAAAAATACGCTTCTGAATATATTTTTTTAATCAAAAGTTTGAAACGGTAGATAAATTAACGAAATTTTTCACAGATACTGAACTTTTTGAGCTTTATTAGATTGAATATAAATTATTCATAAAAACTATTCAGTGGCGGCTGAATCTGGGGTGGCGAAAGTAATAATTACACAAATTTTTCGGGTAATTATCTTTCATTCATTTTCCAAGTTTCAATGAAAAAAGCTCGCTTTTAAGATTTTTTAACATTTTTTAGTTAAATAATACTACTTGATATCAATTAAAGAAGTAGGCTATGCTCAGTTGCTCACTGTTCACTGTTTATATGTGCTGTCACTCTGAAAGTTTTATCAAAGAAATAACAAACTGGAGTTATTCCGTGTTTTTATCAAAAAGTGTAATAATTTTATTTCAATTTTCCCGTTTGTCAATATGCCTATGGGATTTAGTTTCTAACTTTTGATTAAAAAACTATATTTATTTTGAAGCGTATTTTTGACACCTTATATCTCAAATACTAACTAGTAAGAATGTACTAGCTCGGCAACATTAAAGACAAATAGCAGGAGCAGGATATCCACTGCGGTCTATGGCCTGTTGTGGCTCTTCTAATACGTAAATGATTGATTAGCAATGGTTACATGTTTGGTCTGGTAAACGGCCAATGCTAACTAGATTTAATGCATTACAATGTTTCTTTCATTGGGTTGCATAGGTTTGATTTTTATTTTTCCTTCTGAAACGAAGCTAGATAAGAAATCTAAGAGGGCAAAAAAATTATATTTTGAAATGCACGCCCCTGAAAATATGTAACTCATTCATGAACAGTAATAGGTCTAAAAGTTAGCTCATTGATATTTCCACAATAGATGTGAATTTCATCACAATCGGTTATAGCATTTCTGAGAAATCAATAAATAATCGATTTTTCAAAGAAACTTGAACACCCTATATCTCGAAAACGATGCGTTCAAAAGTACATGTTCATAGGAAGTTTATTTATTATTTCAACGAGTACTATACGCTGTTAAATTTTCCGTATTAAAAAACGGACCACCCTGTATACATTTTACTTTATTATTTGGGATTTTCTCTCCTCGTTTCTATAAAATATGTACAGTGTGTCTCACTTCTAATGGAAACATCCCTGTATCTCACGTATTCGTTTGGTAAGGATCCTGAAATTTGTTGGACCGAGATATATACCAGAAATGTACTCTATGACCAAGTGGTCAGAGTGATGTACAGGGTGCGCCTCTTAAAATGGAACCCCCTTAACTCTTTTGTTTTCAGAGATATTAAGAAATGATAAATCAAAAAGTTGTTTGAAACGATCCAAACTTTTATTTCTTGAAGTTGCTTCATATACAGGGTCATTCGTTTTCCCGGAAAAGAAATTAACTCCGATTGTTTCAATGAAACACCCTGTATATTTTGTGAAATGTCGATAGAGCTTTTTTGTCTGATTTCAAAAATATATACGAGTTGCATATTTGTATAAAAAAATAATTGAGTTATTGATGATCAAAGTTTACCAAAATACTGCATCTTCCATTCAAACTGTCCATTCATATTTTTTTGTATTGAGATTGAACGATTTCAATTTGATAATAAACAATATCATGAAATTTCCATGGATTTTAAACAATATATATATTATTTCTAAGCCCACTATGTTCAACTTACATTAGATGATATAAAGTGAAAGTTCATAAAGCAATATTTTGGTACACTTTGATCATCAAAAATTCAACTATTTTTTATCCAAATATGCAAGTCATATATATTTTCAAAATCAGAAAAAAAAGCTCTATCCATATTTCGAATAATATATTGGCTGTTCCATTGAACAAATCAAAGTTCATGTCCTTTTCAGAAAAACGAATGACCCTGTATATAACAATTTCACGAAATGAAAGTTGGGGTCTTTTCAACAAACTTTTTCAGCAGAGTCAGTGGATCTACTGACAGTACTGACCAGTTGAATTCGGAATAACAATAGGCTCACAGATTTCAGCACGCTGGTGCCGTCATGTGTGTGAATATGCCTTAGCTTTGGAATAAGTGAGTCAAAAAATAGTAAGAGGATGCAATGACTGCATGGAAGCAGGAGGCCATAATTTTGAACATTTATTGTCATTTCATTACCAGTTGATAATTTTGAAAATATTTCTCACAAAATTTCACAATTCTATGCATTTTAGGAAGGGTATTGAATATTACATATTTTTTCTGTTTGCATTAATAATAATGTACAAAGTGCAATACATTTTTGGATAATATCTGAGCATTTTATTTTTCCTCATGGAGTTCAGAAAACGGAGCAAGATAATAAATGCAAGAGATGAAAATATTGTACTTTTAGTGGGTTTATCTGAATATTTGAGAAGAACCCGAAACAGAAAACACTTGCTGACTTTTCTACAAAAAAGCTGACTTGTTAAAAACGGGTACTCCCGGGAAATTATGTATAAAATCTCATTGGTCCAGTGAATTTTCGATAATTGTGTAATCTGTACTAGTATTTAAAAGAGGAAAGATTTGTTTGTATTAAATAGGCTCCGAAACTACTGGACTGATTTGAAAAATGCATTCACCATTAGAAGCACACATTATTCCTGATGAACATAGGCTATATTTTACCATGGAAAAATGCTTCATTCCTATGGAATAACGGGTAATAGGACAAGGGGTAGTAAGAATTCTCCTTCCATATATATCTTTTTCACATAACTTCTAAATGACTGAACCAATTGGGTTGAAATTTTATGAGGGTATTTCAATGATTTCCTGGGTGATTTAAAAATACAATTGGATGTGATAGGTGGCGCTGATGTCGGTACGTCAACTACTAAAGGTCTTGACCACGTTGGGTTGTCATTTTTGATATGTAAAACAAAAAAAAATCCAAAAGATATTTTGTGCAGAAGAAGCTACCCTAGACTTTTGTCACCACAACTCTGAAACACCCTGTATTTGAAAATATAAAAAAGAAGAAGAAGAAAGAAGAAGGATTATGAAAATAAAATACAGGGTGTTCCATTTAAAAAATACAACTCAATGTTAGGTGTATGATGCTTTTCTGGATTTTCCCGATTTTCTAATACTAAATTCTGAATTCCCATAAAAAATACTTATTTTTGTTTTTGCCCATTTCATCATTTCTGAAAGACCAATAACCTAATCGGACATTTACTAGCTGGATTATCTTTGACTAAGAATATGATGATTCAGCCAATAATGTTCAGAATGGTTCAGATAAAATATGACTGTTTATTAAGAATGCAGTGTTGAGATAACAAAATTTCAGATAGTCACCTATCATTTCAAAACTGCTTATTTTTTATTCATATTTGGTACACAGTGTAGGTGCTGTAAAAAACAATGTGAAATCAAATCAATCACCATAATTCAAATAGGTGTGAGAGGTTTTTTCCATAAATCTCATGCAAATCTTAGTTAATACATTTTTTTAAGAATCTCAACTATTTTTATATAAACAAGGTACAGTGCTGCCCAAAAAAATTGTTTTGACTCTGGGTCAAATTCATAAATTTATTGTCAAAGATACACCTGATTATCTCAAACCCTGGCTCAAACCACAATAAGAAATAAGTGATTGAAACAGCAGGTGTTGGAATAGATATTAGTCAGGGTGCATACACCAAATTTTCAAAGAGACTTTCATAGAAGTTGGTAGGAATATTTTGGGCATCACTGTATCTGTTTATCCAGTTAGTATATCCAATATGATTGAAGACAGCCTATACAATAATGATCATGTAGGTAATACATGCAATAAATACTAAATTACTCTTACTCACCAGCTGTGCATATAGCAAATAACATCTGCATTGAATCAAAAAAGAAGAACATAATCAACAAAGAGACACTAGCAACTAAAGGTAAACATAGTGCCTGCATAGTGTCCAATGTCTGTACATTATTATGACTATCAGTGTCACCAGGAGTGCTAGGTGGAGTATTCAGAAGACAATTCGATGCACTTGTTGCCGCCGCTCTTTCTCTAGCCTCCTGTTCCATGTTGAGGCTTCGAAAGGAACCATAAACTATAAGTAGCATGGATATGAGGAATGTAGATACTCTACTTGAGTCCATAATAGAGTAGGCCCATTGGTATTCAACTGTCTGGCCCTGGCTATCAGCCATTTTGACAGTTATTTGTCACTACTATCTAAAAATAATTTGTGTAATAGCTTATAACCACATGTGAAATCAGGGCAAATTTATTTAAATTATCTCATGTACTAGTTCTTTAGCAATATTCACAAATTTCAGAGTCTATAGTTTATACCATCATCAAATTTTATAATTTGAATGCAACAGGTACCCTGATTTTGGGATATCAAATGCCAATTTGATCTTACCAGAAAATATTGAAAACAAAAGCATACCTACCTACCTCCAGGATATGGAAATAACCATGAATATTGTGATGTTCATTCCTTTTTTCTTGGACGAGCCATTAAAATTGAAATATTTTAGCTCCGTTTGATAGTTATCTACCGATACTCATAATGTTTTACAATCATTTAATCATTGTTATTATTGTTACTCGGTGGCCATATTATTTTGTTTTAGTGTTATCAGTCAAGCAGTGTTACCACCTGAGAAGTGTTACCGGTGTTGAAATTAGCGCACTGCTGCCAACATAAAGATCTCAAATATAGCTCGATCCTGAACGAAAATATCATTGAATCAAGCAAAGATCAATGAATCACTACATTCAATTATACACATTCAATGATACCACATTTGATGATTATCCTTCCTCAATTACTAGCATCCGGTCAGAACAAACAACAAAGACACACAAAGGTCTGAACGAAACCTAATGAAGCCGACACCCATGGTTTCTTCCTGGCCTAGGACACACGTATTCATTTACGCTTTCTTAAAAATACCAAGATTTTTACACTTTTCTACGAAAGAGTAGAAGGGTACGAAAGTACGAAGCTCTGGGAGGGCCACTTCTATATATTTTTTAAAATCTCGAGTTTGTAAAGTCGAGAACTCGAGATCTCGAGTTCATAAAGTCGAGAACTCGAGATCTCGAGTTTACAAAGTCGAGAACTCGAGATCTCGAGTTCACAAAGTCGAGATCTCGAGTTCACAAAGTCGAGAACTCGAGATAACGTGATGTGTACTCATGTTTTATGTTCTGTGCTTCTGTTTCTTACGCAGTCATCACTCATCAGTCATCTAGTCATCTCATGATCTTATCTCATATTTTTGTATAAATGTATAGATCGTGTGTTTTATTAGCTCCGTTAGCTCTTGAAACTCTTGAGAATATTATCAGTAATCACATCATTGTAATCACCATAGAGAAACAACAAAAAAAGTAATCAGTCAATACCAGTACAGTATAATAATAGCAGTCCTCCTAAAATCACAAGTATGAACTATATTTTGACCAGATTTTGACCAAAGTACCTGTAAATTTTTCAAATGATTTCAGGAATGGAACTGAGAGACAGGCTTATAAGTAGATATTTTTCATTTGGGTTACAGAATAACGAGATCCTCGCATTTCAAACTTGTGCAGGACCTATACAGAATCACAGAACCAAAGCCACAACATTGATTTTAATTATATTATTATTATTTATTTGTTTTTATCTTATTCCTGCATGGTATATCAATGCAATTTAATTATTACCTAATATCTAGCCATCATTCTTCAATCCACCCACACTACACACAGCAGGAAAGTCAACAGATCCGAGTTTAGATGGCTTCTTTTTGGAATTTGGCGGCAGGTATAGAGAATTATGGCGGCAGGTGTCAGGTTGACATAATGACATATCTCTTGACGTTCTCGCATCACAAGTTCACCACAACAAATTAAATCTCGAGTTCTCGACTTTGCAAACTCGAGATCTCGACTTTGTAAAGTCGAGATCTCGAGTTCTCGACTTTGTAAACTCGAGATCTCGAGATCTCGACTTTCACAACTCGAGATCTCGAGATCTCGACTTTCACAACTCGAGAACTCGAGATCTCGACTTTACAAACTCGAGATTTTAAAAAATATATAGAAGTGGCCCTCCCAGAGCTTCGTACGAAAGAGTAGAAGGGTCATCAAAAATAAAAAAATCTAATTATTGCAACTTGTAACGTGCAGTAATTCAATTACTGCAACTTACAACTTGCAATAATTCAAAATACTGCAACATACAACTTTTGCAGTAATTGAATTACTGCAACTTTCAACTAGCAGTAATTCGCAATACTGCAACATGCAACTAGCAGTAATTTGAATCACTGCACCTTATAACTAACAGTAATTTGAAATAATGCAACATACAACTAGCAGCAATTCGAATCACTGCAATAACTTACAACTCGCAGTAATGGGCTTATATCACGAAAAATTTTTATTTCATAATTCGATAGAACTCTCCCAAACTAGCTCACCACCGCAAACCGTTTCTTGCTGTGAGCTCCCTACGTTTTATAAAAAATTATTGAAATCCCCGATTTTTCGGACCTCTGAAAACGAGGCGATGATGTGACGTCAAAACCCTAATACTGAAACAAGACTATTCCAGACAGTGATAAATGATACTTGATTTCTGACAGAGTGAATTAGCGCGAGATCAGAGTTGAAAGAATTAATATATCAGTTGCCTCAGTCTCCGTTGGGCTTTTGGTATTTTCTTTTAACTATGGCGAGATGAGGTTTCTACGTCATAAGAGGGGGTCCGTTTTCAGAAGGTACTATTATTTATGTCCAAAAATAAAACATTTCAGTTAATTTTTCGATCGAATTATATCGTCAATCATTATTTATGTATAAAAGGATCATTATAATCATGGAATGAGTTGAAATTTTTACTAAGGTGTACACGCCCATTGTAACCCTCTTCTAACCAGTATTAGCACTTGGCCTTGGAAAGCCTTGTCGGGTTTTGGCAGGTCAACACAGACACAGAACAGAAAGTAAGGTGACAGAAGTCGAAGAGAAGTAACCGTGCGTTTCACGGTCTTTGCCTCTCTGAGACGAGACATGCTCCAATGCAAAACGACGCCATGTACCTATGGAATTGCCCCTGTGAAGGTATAAAAATATCGAAACAAGGTGGATGCAATCCAAGCTTTAGATGGTAAACTTCTATACGGTGTTAATAATGAAATCTAGCTGGTATTTAAGTTAACAGAGTAGTTGATCTATGAGTTAACCTCAGTTAATCTCCTTCTCAGCCTGTTTTGTGCTTTAGTTACTGCAAGTTGTAAGTTGCAGTGATTTGAATTACTGCTAGTTGTATGTTGCATTATTTCGAATTACTGTTAGTTATATGTTGCAGTGATTCAAATTACTGCAAGTTGTAAGTTGCAGAAATTCAATTACAGCAAGTTGTATGTTGCAGTATTTTGAATTATTGCAAGTTGTAAGTTGCAGTAATTGATGCTGCACGTTACAAGTTGCAATAATTCCTTTCATTCTCTTATTTCTGATGACCCTTCTACGCTTTCGTACTTTTCCAGTTTTTTGCCCGTAATCACACTCGGAAACTATATACATTCCATCAAGAAGACCACCCTATTATGGTATGTGAATGTGAATATAGAATCTCATTAACGCTTTCAGCCATCTTGTACAATAATTGTATAGGTATGTTCACGCTTGTACGAATTCCGCAAAATTTATGCGAATCGCAAAATATCAAATTCCCAACAGAATTCGACGTTCATACTCATGCGACAAAATTTGCAGGAGATAAGGATTCTGTTGTCATATACAATTTTTTTATTTCTGGTCCCACCATTGATAGAAGCTCATCAAATTAAAGACACGTTAAACGGAAGTAATTGAAATATATATTTGGTTCATTCAGTCGTCATTATCGAACGAGGCTGTAATGATCTCCATACATTCTTCGGCATTTAAAAATGATACGAATTATACATTGAAATTAATTCGTCCAGAGAATTCATTCTGTGAAAAAATTTTATCAAATGACGAAATGTCTACCACATTATAATTCTGTACTTACTTGCATTCATGTAGTGTCTAGTCTCGTCTTTTTTCGGTCTCTGCTGTCCGCTTCCTTTCCCCAATTTCGATGTTATCGAAATAACAGAATATTTTATGCATACTCTGGTAGTTATGATTCCATCCAAATTCGTGAAAAAGTTCAAATATTTCAACTTCATTGCGAATTTCGCATTCGCCATTTTATTCGCATAAATTTTGCGGAATTCGTACAAGCATGAACAAGGTGCTGAGGTATGTTAATGCTTGTACGAATTCCGCAAAATTTATGTGAATAAAATGGACACTGCAAATATCGCAATGAAATAAGGATATATGAACTTTTTTACGAATTCGGATAGAATCATAACCACAAATAAATATTTCAACTACTCTCGTGTAACATGCCTTCAATTTGATTTGAACGATGTCTGTAATTAGTTCCACATCCGAATCATAGATGGGTATGCAAATATAATAAAATTCAGTTCTACCAACCTTGTAACACTAGCGGATACACAGAAACTATCTGCAAATCGTCCCGAGTGTATGAACCAATCAGAACGATTCTAGCTATGGCGGTGCATTCAAAATGAATCGTGATTGAATCCGAATCTTTTCGAGAAAAGAAAATAGGATGAAGTGGAAAATTTCAGTCATATAAAAATATAGTATTCAACAAAATCAAATGGATTGAGTCTATTTATCCTTAACAAACTAACCTATTCCTAATTGCAATATTTTTTGAGGAAGGAAAACCAGAATGAAGTAAATACACATTGATCAATGATAAGTCAAGTTTTTCAACAAAATTGAATAAAATGAGACTGTTTATCCTAAACGCACTAACCTATTCGACATTCGATATTTTTTGAGGAAGCTAAATCAGAATGAAGTAAAGATACATTGGTGAAAAAAAGTTGTTAAAAAAAGATTAAGTTCATAGCGAATCGAACCTGGGACCTGCAGATCTGTATTGATATATGCGCGCGCATTCGGGACGATTCGCAGATGGTTTCTGTGTATCCGCTATTCCTTGTAACGAGCTTGATAAAAGGGCTGTTATTCTAGTGTCTAAGATGGCGCATGTGAATCTGTGAAGAAGCAAGGTAAGATCATTTCATTCTTCCTGTATCTAAGCCATATATGGTGATCGGTGTATTTTTTTTCT